GCCTTTCTTTTAGTGTCTTCCCCATCCTACCCAATTATCTTATGGGACAAAAGGTCGTACGGTCCTCACACATGCACGGCTATCATGAGTGTGTCCTCAGTGACTGGGTGTTGCTTCAGTCTTTAGACTTTCCCCAGTCATCTGCTTTACTGGTGGGGAAGTGCTTTTATTTTGATCCAGCATCTTCTCAGGGGGCGTGTCATCTTTCAGTTATGGGGCTGCTTGGCAGGGTATTTTTAGGTGTGTTTATTTTGAAGTAATCACCCAAAGATGCTTCTGTCTTTCTAATAGTATGGTATTACGCTCATTCATCCTTTGTCTGTATGGGTGTGTACGCTTTACTGTACAAACAGGCGGCCATCTGTAAGCTGTACGGCTCTCTCTTGACATTTAATCAGTTTGCTGTTTTCTCTCATTCACTCGCATTCTCTGTTTCTCTGTCCCTGGTTTCTTCTCAGCCTTCCTGGCATCTCACCCTCCACCCCCTCTTCCCGGCCCCTGCCTGTCTTGTTTGATATAAATATCGTGTCGGGTTGGCCTGATGGGGTAGGGTTTCTGTGTGGGGCCGTGGCCAGTTCTGCTCTTTTGCACCCTGGCTATGAACAGGTGAGCTGTGGACCCTGGTGGCCCATCACCTTTGCCCACATGTTAATAGAACAGATTAAACAACTCTGCCCCCCCACCCCACCCTGCCTGCACCGTACTCCACGCTCTGTGGGAAATGGGCAGTAAAAACTTTGACATCTCCCTCATCCTGGAATTCAAAGCATGCTGTACTTAGTGGACGGAGTCCTGTAATTGTCAACACATTATTTTCATTTTCTGGACTGACAGATGGTGTTTTGTGTTCGAGCACATTCCTCAGCAGCTTTCTACCTAGAACCCGTTAGATTTTATTACAAAGCATCATTATGATTCCACTTAAGACAGGTTGGATGTTAAATGTTTCGCTGGATAAGGTCAACCGTTTGTACCTTTCCCAGAGCGTCCCCGCCTGATTGCTATTTTGCGGACAGAGGAATGTGTGGAATTCCCCATGTACCTTCGCTTCAATCTGATAAACACTGCAGGACTGTGACAGAGCCTCGTGTGGCGAGAGGGAGAGGGGGAGGCGGCTGTGCGCAGGCAAGGCCATACATGTACCCACTGCCACAAGAATGTGTACAGTATCCACATAACTTGAGAGTTGTTTGTTGTAATGAAGTTTAGTTACCACAGTGTGACCACAGATGGTTCCACTGACGGTGAGCGAATCTGTATATTGTGTTAGGGAAATCTGATGAATTCATCTTGACCTATTTGTCCCAGTCATGTCCTTTTTTGATGACCGCTTTATTCCTCCAGACCTTGCACAATGGACTATTGAGTCAGGATGCTGTTAGAGCAGAATTGGACTTTGTCCATTGTGGCTCCTACCCCCTGTCTGGAATGGAAAAGATTAGCCAGTTACTTGGCTTACAGTGCATGTTTGCATTCTTAATGCTTTTTAACTCTTCTTGGACCAAACTTGTCTGCGACTGACGAAGGCTTGTTGGCCGTCCTTATGACAGACTCAGGGCTGCCATCCTCAGGGGAATGAGGAGGAAATTTCAGTAGCATCTATTTAATCTTTATCCTTTTATGACCTGCAGTAAATGATATGAAAGAGATGATGCAAAGAGAATGATGTGTGTGCAGGCGACTTAGTCAAAGGCTACAAATGAACGTGAGCTGGACATTTTGGATTTAGTAATTATAAGTTTCTGATGCTAAATTTAAAAAGGTCTGACTGTGTTACAGGTCTGTCCTAAAGTCCTGTTTTAGTCTTTCTTTATCCTGATATAGAAATTGCAGTATCAGGCTGGTGCGTCTCCCACATGATTATAATGCCATCCATATTTGGGCTGCAGCTAACAATTGAATGAAGGGCTGAAAAGTGTTCAAACAAAAGCACATAAAAATCTATTTGAAGGTACACGGGGTACTTTTGTCCTCCGTGCTTGTCTTCCTGGAAAGAGGACCCCAGTGGAAATATGTTTTCCTTTAACTTTATCGTGTTATTTCCCACCAAGAAATTAATACAGGCATAATGGATTAGACATTAAAGTTTGATTAAATAATGAATTTAACAGTGATTACGTCCCCTGTGGAGATCTCTGGGGGCCTGTGCCAGAGTCGCAGCAGGTGGGAGGGGTTATAAGGAGTGCAGAGACATCATTATTGAAGGACTCTCAAAAACTTGGCTTTGTCTACAAGCATTTTCAAGGACCTTAGGCAGTATGGCTGTCCTCTCTGTCAAGGCCACAAAGAGCTTTCTAGGAATACATTACCATAATTACTAAGTCTTTAGGCCTTATTCTTTTTATTTGACAACATTTAAGATCTGCCAGAAGAGAAACGTGTATTTAATATGACTCACCTTTGTGCCAAAAGCTGTTGTGGTAATTTTTTCTATCTGGAGTCTTTGTTTTATGAGCGACAAAGTCAATTTCAGTAAGACCTTGTTTAGCATGTCAGCACCAGGTGCAGATTATTTTGAGCTGGTCATGGATATTTCAGCACATTTGTACAGACATGGGCTACTCGCTGAGCTTACCGCTTTAAATAGGCTTGCGCTCCCATGTGGTTTATGTCAAACTTCATGACTTCAACGTTTAGCTTCTGGGCACGAACTCCCTTTTGATCTGAAGACACAACATAGTGGACGTTTAGGCGTAGAGATGTGTGAGAGTCACACTTTATTTGTAAACTTATCCCAGCTCACAACTTTAGATGCAGTTTAACATAACAGACATACGTTACAGTCCTGTCATTTGTAAATGCAAATTTAAAGGTGAGAATGTTTTTTATTATTTACCAGGTACAATGCATATTGATCAACATTGCGGTTTACACTTAAATATAAATGTTGAGTTTATCAGTACAGTGCTTCAACAAGTACTGCAAGAGAAATACATTACATTATAATTAGGGCTCGGTAATAAAACAATAATGATAATTGTCGCAATGTGATTTTACTTAATAACAATATAACAATTGTGTGATAAATAATCTGTAACAAATCAGCACTTATTTTTCTATTAAGATATTTATTTTGCAATTATAATGCATAAGTACATTATAAAAGTGACAGAAGTAAAAAGTAGTTGAAAAGTAGTAGACAAAGTAGTGCCCAATATCATCAGTACAGTTCTTCAACAAGTACTGCAAGACAAATACCATACAATATGTAATAAATAAATATAATTAACTAAAAAGGTGGATTTCGAGTGTATGTTATTAGGATAAAGGAACACTGAAAGGATACCTTCACCCTGTTTTGGCTCTCAAATGACTCCCCTCCCCACAATAGACTGGCAGCATGTCATCACTCCTTGTTGATCACACCATCTTTGTCTGTACTGCTCTCTGTTTCACTCTCTCTCACACACACACACACACACACACACACACACACACACACACAGTAGCTATATAATCCTGTTTGGATGGATGGAGGATAGTACAGATACAGCAGGTGGGAAAATAATGTGAGTACATTTACTGGCTTTTTAACTATTTGAAAAGTAAAATGTTTGTATTCCTGGATTACCTTTGGTTTTCTTTATAAGATTGCATTGGGAATGGTTTGTTGTTAGATCATTATTGGCACTGACGAAGCAGAAACTTACCCAATCTTTTCCAAGCATGTGGAGAGACTTGGCTTTCCAGATATTCTGTTTATGTTTTTTTTTTTTTTTTTTATGGTCACTCGATTGTGGCATGTTTATAAAGGCAGTGTCTGCGGCTTTCACTGAGCAATAAGGGGCCATATGGGCATTAAGTGGTGTGTAGTTATACTTGATCCGAGTCTCTCTGTACTCAAAACCTCAGCTTAAGCTTTGATGTTAAGTTTTTAAGTGAAATGTTTACTTTGCGACTGACTTACAGTGGGATTAATGTAATGTTGTATGAAAGAATGCAGGAGTGTTTTGGGGAAGCAGTGTGATTTAGAGACATGGTTAATATGCCTACAAGTAGTGTATCATCACTGAACTGGTGTCCTACTTGTATTGGTGTTTTTTGTTTGTTTCTTTTTAAAACATGGTAATTGTTTGCTATCTGCCTATCTTCTGGTTAGTTGGGCAGTTTTCAGCCGTGCTTCTCTGGCGTTGTGAGCTTAAAAGTGCACTGCTTCATTGTAACTGTTCCATGCTCCTGTAGTGTGTAACAGTATGCAGCCGGTGATTGCGGTCTATTCTGGACAGGCTGAGGATGGATAAATTGTGTGATGTAAGAGTCTATTTTGTCCAAACGCTCAGCAGGGTATCACTGTACCCCCTCAACCCTGGACTGGACCCAGAAACATTTTCCGCCTGTCTGCTTCTTTGTTCCTGTCTGTCAAGTTCACACTCGTTTTCATAAAACAGAGACTAATAAAAGACATGTCCCTCTATTATATAGAGGTATAAGATACTGAAATGACAGATCAAGCTCATAGATAGGTAGTTCTCATTGTCAGCAAGGTTGTATTTATAGTGTGGACTGATAGGAGAAAGTATGTTGTGGAAGTTGGGCTCAGTGATATACTGTGCCATGCTGTGACGGTCACATAGCCTAACCTTACTGTTGGATGATCTGCTCTGAGGACAAGGCTTTTTTTGGTGGCAGGTTGGAATGAAGACTCCGACTCGCCGCCATTGTCTGTTTACAGCCCGACACCACATTCAATAGTCGCCTCAGAGCACACAGCAACACCAATAAAGGATTTATTGGTCTCCAGCCCAACCATGTTTACTGGTTGAAATATCCTGCAAAAGCATTTGTATCGGATGACCCAATGACATGAGGACTTACTGTGTCCCATTTTAATGAAGATTGTTATTTAAATGAAATGAAGACATGGACGAATCAACACTAAAAGCAAATGCAGATATTTTATTTAGTTGTTTGAACAGCACCATTGTAATGTGTATCTAGTGTAGAGTAAGTGTGCCTTGGAACAATAACTTAGTAAAAACGTTTAACTATCAAATCTTCAGATGCGTTGCTGGCGGACCTGGAATCTACTACGTCCCACATCTCAAAGCGACCTGTGTTCTTGTCTGACGAGACCCCCTACTCCATCCCCACTGGAGGACACACATACCAGGATGTGTCAGTCCCACCTCCAGTCCCTCCTCCGCCCTCAGCTGAGGCTCTGAACGGGTCCCTGATAGATCAGCTGGACTCCCACCACTCCTCTCAGCAGGTAGATATGTACTGTGACACGTACCTGGAAGTGGCACAGCACAAATTAGAACTGGTAGCTGTATAAAAGATGTAGAAAGAGGGTTGAAAAAACATTTATCATATGTCTGTGTGTATGGACTCAAAATCTCAATTTTATCAGAAAAGAAATAAAGCAGGGATGTTCAGTCTTAGAAAGTTTACTGGGTCCAGATGATTGTCAAATTGAAAGCCAAGTGAAAATTCAGTTTTCTCGGTAGATCTGACTGATTTATATTCTGCAGTCGTTAGGTTCAGCCCAGAAGAGCTCATGGTCCGGGGACAGTAGCAGCTCCCCGTTGTCTCACGTTGAAGAGGACCACGTCTACAGGTATCCTGCGACACACTTGAAATGTTGAGTGGATCATCTGTCACTTTCTTTTACCTGTGTTGTTGCTATTAGCAGTTGTCTCTTTTGTGTCTCCGCTTCAGTTTTCCAAACAAACCGAAGTCATCAGACTCGTCAACGGCTGCCATGACCTCAGCCCTGGGCAGTAACCTCTCAGAGCTCGACAGGCTGCTGCTGGAACTCAACGCAGTGCAACAGAGCTCCCCTTCATTCCCTACTACAGGTAGTCACTAATCCTTTAGCTTTACCAGGTCAGTTTGTGGTGAGTGTAATTCATTATACTGTTACATGTCCCCAGAGGAGGCAGCTCCACCCTTACCATCCTGCAGCATCACCCACTACGAGAACGGCAGCGCCCCTGACATCATGGTTAGCCCTCCCCCTCAGGACAAACCCAAGCGGAATGGAACGAGGCTGGACGAGGCCCGACCCACCGTGGAGAGTCTGCTGGACGAGCTGGAGGGCTCGGTGCCTTCACCCAGGTACGCACAGTCTCTCTACTGCAGCTGGTCTCTAACTTAACATGTCGGCTTCATAGGGGGGGATGGCAGACGGTGTAATTGTTAAAATAAAAGGATAAAGGCACAAACTTTCATATAGTCTTTCCTGAAAGGCATTCAAAGTGTTGCACTTGTTTGTACATATGAAATACAGAAGTAATTGTGTAAAGAATGGAAAAAATGGAGCTTGAGAGAGAAGTTCAAACCCTTCCCACTCTGTTGCCTCTGCACACCTGTCAGGTAGCTGTTACTTGAAATGTTGACATTAAACTGAGCAAAAGAACGTTAGCTTGTCCAAATCGAGCTAACTTTGGCTTTGTTTGCCCCAGCGACAAACAATTAAAAGAAATGGATTGTTTTGTCTGTTTGTCAGACTTCTTCGGAACGTACATGCATGCCTGCTGGAAGCCTGTTAGCTGGTGTCTTTGCTGAGGGTCCAATTGCAAATTTTAATAGTAGATGGGAGGTAATACACAACACCTGTTGGAGCTGGAGTTGGTCTCTCATGTCAGCTTGGTGTGTAAGAGAAATATTTTGACTGCTCATAGCGAATCAAGTGGGACATTGGCCAGTACATATTTTGAGTGCTGCTGTAAGTAATGTTTCAATGTTGAAATGCACGTAATCATATTATTATAATTTGTATTTTCCAGCCCCTCCACTCGCCACAGCGATTTAGACACTCCCTCTCAGCAGCAAGCCAGAATTTCAGCATCCTGTGCCACAAGAGAGCTTGACGAGCTGATGGCCTCTTTGTCTGACTTCAAGGTACACACCAGCATGAATACTGAAAAGGCTTCTCTTGATTATCAAACACAAGCTTCTCCTGTTTCATTCCTGATGACTGTCCTATTCCTCTTATCTTGCTTATGCTTCTCTGTCCTCTAGCCCAGTTCTTTGGGCTCTCTGCTGAACCCAGAAGGAGCATCTTCCAGCTCTCCTCACCCTCCAGTCTCTTCCTCCACCACCCCGGTGTCTTCTCCTTTCCTTAGTCTGTCCCACTCGTCTGCCTGTGCCTCTCCTCTCTTCCCTTTGCCTTCTGGTCTAGAGCTGCACATAGATGAGGAAGGAGGAGACGGTGGCATGTCGTTGTCCCATCTGAACCGCCGCCCTCCGCATAGTCCTATATCCTCACTTTCTGCAGCCAGTGACCTAGACCTGGACTCTGTCATAGATGTCTCTGCCACCATGCTGTCGTCCCAAACCAAGTCTCTGCTAGTCCTCTCTCAGTCCGCTTCCTCTAACTCCAGCCTGATGAGAAATAGCCCAAGTCCTTCGAATACCACCACCACCCCCTCACTTACCTCAGTTAACACCGTCCTGGATCACAAGTCCTCCAAGTCACCCAGTCCATGTGTAGAACGGGTCTCACCCTCAAATACTGTCGGTAAATTCTCTTGTGCTCCTGAGATCAAGGGGTCTGCTTCTTTTCATGACCTCGATTTGAATTTCTCTACTCCTCTTTCAAAAAACCTCACCCCTCCTCTCTCAGCTGCATTGACCTCTTCACCCCTCCCTGTTGCTGTTTCATCCTCATCCTCACCATCTCCAATCTCTCCATTAATGGTCCCCACTCCACTGGCCTTCACCAGCCCCAGCAGGCAGCTGTTTGAGTCGGCACCTACAGGCCAGAGAGCCAGCCCCCCCGCTGTACAGTACAGTACAGTAGAGCCTTCCCTGGACGAGGCGCTAGACAAGCTGCTAGCGATGAGTTTTGCACAGAACCATGCAGCACATGCGGAGGAAGCACAGTGTCTAGGCAGAGAGATGCAGGAGGTGCACGAGGAGTTTATCCTGCCCATGGACAGAAACAGCGTGCAGCCTGACACTTACACAAGCGCCACCAACACCATCACAGACGACTCAGTGGATGGAGGCACTGATGGGAATGGTGACCTGGACTGGGCTGATGAGGAGCTGTCCATGTCCTTCCATGATGGACTGGACGGCACCATGACACCTTACACAGAGAGGCCGTACACAGATGGCAGCATGACCCCGCTGACAGAGGCCAGCTGGATGGATGAGTCCATGACCCCGTCTTCATGCCCCGGGACCCCTGACGCTGCCCTGGACCTGCCCCTGCTGCAGACTCCCAATATGGACAGAGTCTCTGCATCCGGACATGTATGCATCTCCTCTCCTGCTTGACACAAGATGGGCTTGTTTTGCTCACATGTTGCCTTGTTTTTTTTTTACCCTTGCTTATGAGACTGATGCTTCTGGCCTCCGCTTCGAGGGTTTTTTCTCACAGGTCTTTTTGAAAAGCTGATACACGACACCAGATATCTATGTCCTAGTTTGCTCACAAGCATGCACCGCGCTATTTTAACACAGTAAGACAAGGATTTTTATATTCATGTCGCCAATCGCCTGAAAATCTAAATAACACTTTTTAAAATCTTTTAATTAAACGCATAGTCTGTCAAGGTCAATTGATTAATAAAACAAAAAAGAAAATCTGACCAAAAAGTCACACTGTCAAGTCTCATTGGTGGTGACAATGTGCTTTAATTTTGTCCAGTCCAGTGGGCAGAAACTAGTCAGAACAACACAGTGTTACTTTTGAGCTTTGCAAAAATAACTGATGACAAAAGAAGGAATAGAAACCATCTTAGAAAGGGAGTAACTCTTTCTAATCAGGAGTTTTCTTTCTTTGATACTACACTTACAAGTAACTCACTGATTGGCGGTACCAGCACTCAGCATGTACACCACATTCCTCCTTACCTAATGCCCCACTTTTTGTGAAGGAGCCTAATGCGACCTGCACTGTGAAATTTGGTGTTGTTGCCTGAGAGACTGGGATTTGAAGGCATCTGACGTAAGCATGCAAGAAGTGCATGAAGTGTGACTCTAAGACCACTGACTACTGCATCCTAGCCTGTCAGGGATTTAATAAATCATAACTTATTGACTCACCTGCTGCCCTTGAACTCTGCTGTAACGGCCTCACCTGCGTTATGTTTGGTGTGGACGTATGATAAGGTGCTCACCATTCCCCCTTAGATAAAATCAGTGATTAGACGCACCAAGGAGACTCCCAACGTGCACCCCATGTACCGAGACGGTCACCTGCGCAGGAAGATGGGACCCATCATTGTAAACAAGAACACTTCTCAGGACCGCCTCATAGAGGAGCTTCAGGGCAAGTTCGGGATCGGCCGCTCAGATCGGCGACGTAAACAGTCTGATGACTGGCTGACAGAAGGTGTCATCGTCTCATCCAAACCCCAGCGTTTCCGCCCTGATGGAGTCGGCAGTGAGGTGGAAAAGGTCGGCTCCACTGTGCTCAGCAGCTTACCCAAATATTTCTTTCACCTTTTCAGTTTTCTACACATTTTTCTCTCTGTGTTCCCTCTCTTCTCTCTCTCTCTCTCTTCTTAGATCATAATTCCCCCAGAGTCTCCTGTCCCTGTGAGGAAGGTGCTCCCACCTCTCTCTCCCCCCGCCCCTCGTCGCCCTCCTATTGTAGAAGAACCTAAGCGACCACTCCCAGCACAGCAGCCCCCTGTCCCTATACCACCACCGCCACCTCCTCCCCTTCCTCCTCCCTCTACCCTTCCACAACCTCCACACATCCATGAACCAGTTCCCGCTGCACCTCTGCGGATTATAAAAGCCTCACCTCCACCTGCCCCAATTCAGGAACCTCCTGCCCCCAAACCAGAGCCCCCTCCTCATGTTCTTAATACCCCACTCCGACCTCCACCAGTGGAGCCAGTGACACCAATTGCACCCAAAGTCCTGGTGTCTGTAGGCTGCCAAACAGAGTATGACCCAGTCTTCCCTCCAATGCAGGCATGAACCCCCGTCTCTTATCCCTTCTGTTTTTCCACGTGATCATTTCTCATCTTTTGTAAACTACAAATATGATTATTTAAAATATACGGGTGTGTGTTAGATTTCTGCATCAGGCACAACAAAACTGTTTTCATAATTTAACCATTCCAGATTATGGCCCAAGGAAAGGGCGGCGTTCCCGGTGGGCCTCCAACTCAGGTCAACAAGCTGGACAACATGCTTGGCAGCCTGCAGTCTGACCTTAACAAACTGGGGGTGCAGACGGTAGCGAAAGGAGTTTGCGGTGCCTGCTGTAAGCCAATTGTGGGACAGGTGAGAGGCTTTTGTTAATGATAATTCTAATAATTTTTAGTTGGAGTTTGCATACCAAATGAACAATCCACTTTTCTGTAAGTGTAGGTGGTGACCGCCATGGGCCGCACATGGCACCCTGAACACTTTGTGTGCACACACTGTCAAGAGGAGATCGGCTCCAGGAACTTCTTCGAGCGTGACGGACAGCCGTACTGTGAGACGGATTACCACAACCTGTTCTCCCCACGGTGCTACTACTGCAACGGGCCCATACTGGACGTGAGTCACTGCTGTTTACATGTGTGGTCTCGTCTGTCGCAGATTACAGTCAGCCAACAATAAGTGTTGTCATCGTGTCTGTTCAGAAAGTAGTGACGGCGCTGGAAAGGACGTGGCATCCTGAGCACTTCTTCTGCGCTCAGTGTGGATCCTTCTTTGGCCCAGAGGGTATTTTGATTTCTTGTATTGAAATAAATTGACTTATTTGTTTAGTACATTCATAGTAGCACAAACTACTACATTTTGTATTCATTGCTTTAAATCTGTTTCTGTCTGTTTCTATGAAGGTTTTCATGAAAAGGATGGAAAAGCGTATTGCAGGAAGGATTACTTTGACATGTTTGCACCAAAATGTGGCGGCTGTGCCAGAGCCATTTTGGAGAACTACATCTCTGCACTGAACAGCCTTTGGCATCCTGAGTGTTTTGTTTGCAGGGTCTGTATCTTGTATTCTGCCTCTATAAAATAATGTTCTTAGAATAATTAGAATAACAGCATCTTCCTCTGCTCTTTACAGGAGTGCTTCACCCCGTTTGTGAATGGGAGTTTCTTTGAGCACGACGGCCAGCCCTACTGTGAAGTGCACTACCACGAGCGCCGCGGCTCCCTCTGCTCCGGCTGTCAGAAGCCCATCACGGGACGCTGTATCACCGCCATGTCCAAGAAGTTCCACCCGGAGCACTTTGTCTGCGCCTTCTGCCTGAAACAGCTCAACAAAGGCACCTTCAAAGAACAAAACGACAAACCTTACTGCCATGGCTGCTTCATCAAGCTGTTCAGTTAGGGAGCATTTAACACTACTACGTATGGGTCAAGTGTCTAAAGCGTCTTCACCACGGGTAGGGTGGGAATGGGATTAATTGTGTTTGTGTCAAAGAAGGTTGTCTGTATTCTGATGGTGACATTGGAAAGTGTGTATGGATTAGGTATGTGCATGTGGTCGAAGCCGCATACAGCCAGACTGAAATATTTTCAAGTTGTCGTTCAGAAATTCTAAAAAACGTCCCCGTGACAGCTATGCATTTTTGAAGCTCTTCTAGGTTTTGAGTGGGTCAATAGGTGCAAGTGTGACAAAGATATGGTGAACTGTCGAAGGACAATGAAAATCTTGAGTTGACGACATTTAAAGGTGATGTTACAAGAGTGTTTTTTTTAATCCCCTGAGCTGCCCTTCTTGTGTTTTCAAGTCCTTTTATTTTGGTAGCTGAAATCTTACTGAACACTGTAGAAATCCATGCAGTAGTCTGACATTGTTGCTCACTGGTTGAGCGTCATTTTCAGAAACTGTAAAAACTCTGAAAACAATAGCAGGAGGGAGCAGGTGAATTGTTTTTTTAATATTGCAGTATAAACCAACAGATAAGGGTAAAAGGCTTCAAGGTGCATGGTATAGAGTTAGACAGAGCCGATGGATAAACCCATGATAGGCTGTTCGCAATTATTTTGTATGTGTGAAATTGATTGTAGTGTCTTTAGGCTTTTACAGACGCAATCACTAATTCAGCCTAAGAAAACCCCTGCATATAAAGATTTTAATGGAGAAAGTTGTTTTATAAATGAAGCAAGAATGCAATTAATCAGTTTAAAACAGCTTCCAAAATCAAAGAGTCTGAATCACACCTTTTTTTTGTTGTTGTTGTTGTTGTTGCCAAAGGCAAACCGTGCATGGATGAACATTTTTACTGTGATATTTCAATGAAGAAATTAAATATGGAGGCATCCACCAGTAGCTGCAGTATGTTTAAACACACCTCACTGTGCTGCCAAATCATTCCTTGACTTTTCACAGAAGAAAAGAGAAAACGGTTTCTTGCTAGTTGTCTCAGACGGTGAAGTGGAATCACGCAAAGATATTGGGAGTGTACAGAGCATCTCTTAGGAGTGCATCCTTTTTTCTTTTTTTTTTTTTGTAAATATCCAATGCAGCTACATTGTGAGCAAAGCACTGTCACGTGTACATGTGTTTTAACAACCACTTATTCGAAGAGGGAGAGGGCTGGTGGGAGGGCATAGCAGAGATACTTTGGTATTTTTGGTGCCATTACTGTATTGAAAAGCTGCTGAATGTTCACGGTTTTGAAAGAAAATAAATCTGCCTGTGATATTCAACTAACTATGCAACTTTGGATTAACAACTTCTAAAGCAACAGGCTGTCTGTGCCATTGTATCAGTGCCACGTCTAATATCACTGGTAAATTCAGCTAAATACTGATGACAGGTCAATAGTTACGTGTTCATATAATTAGACTGTGAGTCCGCTGAGAAATGTAGGCTGTTACAATGAGAGCCTGGTGGTCTGTTAGAATAACTCGTAGGGCTAAGATGACCTATTTCCTTCAGCATCTGGGTAGCGACCACCAGGTTGGGTCTGTATGTGGTTAATCATGACATGCAGCAGATATATGTCAGGCCTTTTGTCTTGTTCAGGGAATTCTAGAGCCTTAAATCCTTTTTCACCCTATTTAAGATATCATGTAACGGCTTGTCTTTTCAAATCAGTTTAGTAGAGTGTTATTTAACCAAAGCCATACCTTCTTTGAATTGTTTTTCTTTTTGTGTGTTTGTGTGTCTGTTGACTCTTTTCTTTTCTTTTCACTTTGAATGTCAATAGAGTCATGATGAATAGTGAGATTCCTCACCTCGAGTCTGATTACGCAAATAAATTCTGTTTTGGTTATCAAACGTTGTCCAAGGGGCTTCATTTATGATCCACAGTGCGTCATTTTTACACTAAGGAAACACCATGGAACACAAACATTTGCCCAACAATACCTCCTTCATCCTCCTCCCAAAATGGAAGAAGAGGAGTACAGAGGAGATGACTCCACCCTCCGAGTGTCAGATACTCGGACTCTTTAGTCATCAACTGGAACTTTTAATGTGTAATCCTTCTTATTCTGTCTCAATACTGCAATTTTTAAGGATTTTAATTCATGCCTTCTCTCAACATTATCAGTACTCCTTATTATTACTGATATTTATTCATTACACTTCTGTCACATACTGTAGAACGTTCTGTCACTGTGTTACTTACACGGATGAAATTATTGTGAAAATAAGTGATTCCCCTTTTTGCTGGGGACCCCACTTTAAGAACCGCTGCTGTAGGGACTTGATGTGCAATAATTTTCTACTCTTTGTCCAGTATTGCAATAATTTTAAGGATTTTTAAATTCCACCTCAACGCTATCTGTACTCATTATTATTACTTCTATTTATTATTATTTATCAGTACACTTCTGTCATATAGCCTACTGTAAAATTTTCCAAAAATTACATTTTTATATTTTATGCTTCTTTATATTGTATTTACCAACTTTCTACTTTTATTTATACCTTGATGTGCAATCTGAGCAACTGTGACACAAGAATTTCCCCTTCAGGGATCAATAAAGTATTTCTGATTTTTGATTAAAGAATAATGTACACATTTCCACACTCATATTTATATTTTTAAATTTGTATATTTTCTACTTGCCAACCTTTTATTATTATTATTTATATTTCTTTAATGACTTGATTAGCAAAGTGAGCAGCTGTAACACAACAACGTTCCCTCAGGGATCAATAAAAGATTTCTGATTCTGATTGTGAGACAGTAAAGTAGGGTTGATTAATCTTTTGAATATCCGATCGCTAAAATGTCAGAAAGTGGGGAGTTTACTGTTTTAGAAAACCAGAAAATATTCACATTTAAGATGCTGGAATCACAGAATCTTCTTAAGAAAATTGCTCAAACTGATTAATCGATTAGCAAAATAGTTGGCGATTGACTTAATCAATTAATCCTTGCAGCTGTTCATATAAAGTCACTATTATTATTAAAAAATGATCAGTTTATAAAGGGGATAACTGATAATGATTCATCAACACAACAGACCGGAACCAGGTGGTGGCGGTAGAGCAACATTGTCGTTTGCCAACCAAAGAAGAAGTAGGGAGCGGCTCCCTGCCGTGATTGGACACAGCATCACGTGTTTAACATCGTCATACCCGGAAAAGTGACATGTTTATTGTTGCTAACCGTTTCGGGTAAGTCGAGCGAATTTGTTAAGTCTCGCCAAGACTCACTTAGTTTATCATTTTACACAAAGTCTGTTTGTACAAGTGGGAGAAACTCTGAGCTCTTGTTAGCGTCAAACTTCAGTCGCAGCCAAGCTTCTGTGTCAAGTAAACTAAACGTTAAATAACCTGCACATTTCTTTGTGTCCGGGTTTCTGTCAGAGAATCTTACTGGTCTTCAATATGCTGATTAAGGGCTCCCAGTACGGCATGAAGTTTATCAAACAGCAACTTTTTTGAGTTTGTTGTGCTCACTCTTCAAAAAAAACATTTTACTAAATGTTCCTGTTTGTATATTGTATTTAATTTTTATAAGATATAATAATAAAATGAGGGTCACACCTTCTCATACCTGGTGAACCAGGTAGGCACAGCAGATAGAGCTGCAACAATTAGTCGATTAATTGATTAGTCGATTGACAGAGAATTAATCGACAACTATTATTATTATATATAATCGATTAATCGTTTCAGTCATTTTATGCATTTTGTCAGCATTGAAATCAGATAGTAGTGTTTGATTTAAATCCTTTAAAGGTGCCCTGTGGAGTTTTCTCATAAACAAGTAAGTTATGTTTACATTCAGTGTTACTCACCAAAAATCATTGTTTATGTCCTTGAGTTGTGTGGTGAATGCATTTCCTTCCTCAAAACATTAGCCAAGGGCATTTTAAAGTATTTTAAATTCAGCATTGTTAAAGAGGTGATATTATTCTTTTTAGCTTTTTTTCCCTCTCCTTTATTGAGTTATATACATTTTTTGTGCATGTAATAGGCTTGCAAAGTGAAAAAGCCCAAAGTCCAGCCCAAAGGGAGTTCCCATCTCCCACAGAAAGCTCTGCTCTGAACTGCTCGTTTGAAGTCCAGCCGTTTCCCTTTCATCCCTGTGACGTCACAGGGACGAAAGGAAACTGCACCTCATATAACGCTCGCCAAGCGGCTACCCCGACACGCCCTCAAAAACTCTGGTGGAAAAACGCTGAGCTGCAGCACACAGCTCTCCTCTCCCTTCCAAACGCTATCTACTCTCCAGGCAGTCAATGGACATAAAGTTGTTACTGTGATGTAGAGACAGAGCTCAGTTAAAACTTTATGGATGAAAAATACTTTTGTTACAGATTAATAACTCACCACTCTGAATCTTTTGCTCCAGTCCATGTTGCCAAGCTGGTCGGCAACATGTAGCCTACAGCTGAATCGAAGCTGTTTACCAGCTTCTCACTGACCCGCCCTTCTCTGCTTCTGATTGGCTAGTAGTCCTAAACCAGGAACTGCGCGTGTGCAACTCCCAACAAAGATCAGTTAGAGACAAGATGCATCACTCCATAGCTAAAAGGAAGTCTTCAACACAGGGTGAAAAGAGGAGCTGCAGCAATGTGCAGTATGACAAAAAATATGGTGTTTTTAGAAAATTAAACCATGTAAACCTGTTCTGGTACAACGTCTAAATAAGATTTTGAACCTGAAAATGAGCATAATATGACCTCTTTAATATCCATGTTTACTCATTAGCAGTCTGCCTTTGCTGGAGTATGACAGCATATCTTGGCGTGTTAATTTCATCTGCTGATCAGCACAATAGTGTGAAAGAATTGGCAGAAATGTGTATTGTGTGTCAACCCTCTGTGTGCTGGTGCGTGTCTGAAACTCCACAGGTAACCTTTAAATACAACACATTGAAAACAATATAAAGATTTGATTTAAATGTTTTTTAGGCTCAGAAATCTCTCTCAGGTCTCTCACTTTAAGCAAAAGTGGAAACATTTGATTGTTTCATCTTCTTAAATGTGAGGAATTGCTGCTATTCTTTGTCTTTAATGATAGTAAAGGAAGAGTCTTTGGGGTTTTTGGACTTTTGACAAAATAAGCAATTTGAAGACGTCAATTTGGGCTCGGGAAAATTGTGATGAGCATTTATCACAATATCTTGACATTTTATTGACTAATGATTAGTCGATGAATTGTGAAGTAGTTGCTACACTGTGGTGTTGATTGTTTATGAAGGAATTATTATTAACTCATCAGTTAGGTTCTGCTGAATCCCTGTAACTGTAAGTTTAAGTATCAGCTGTGGATTTTTATGTTTTTTGACAAATTAGTGAACCTTCAGGGTCCGTGTGTCTCCCAGGTACCTTAATGCAAGGAGGGCACAAACGTTGGTTGGACCGAAATGGCATCCTACTTTGATGAACACGACTGCGAGCCCACCAACCCCGAGGAACAGTATCGCCAAAATGCGCTTCTTGAACTGGCCAGGTGAGGTTCAACACACTTCAGTATCAATCTTTACACTGATTTACTGTTTGTTTTTTCAATTGCTAACAAGTGTCGGTCAAAACTGAAGCCACTTTTATGAAAACTCCTCACACAGTCTGCAACATGCATCTCGGGCCAAACAGTTAATTTCACCCCCAAAACTCACTCAAACCCCCAAAACACTTCATACATGTCAAAATAAACTTGTTCAACCAAAACACTGGCAACAATTCTCATTTAGAAAGCTTTCATTGTCACTCATAACACGCAGACCTAAAAAAAACACTAACAACATAAATGATGAATTGTTGTCTTTGAAGTTTGAATGAATTTTCAGTCAAATCAGTATTTAATAGAATAACAATAACACATATTCACTTTGTAGACTGAACTAAAGTATATGTAACAAAAACAAATCAGAAATACATAAATTTTCTTTAATATCCTATATTTTTTCTATATTATTGCATATACAGGTGCATATCAGATTATTAGAATATTGTGAAAATGTTTTCTGTAATTTATTTCAAAAAGTGAAACTTTCATATATTCTAAATTCATTACAATTAAAGCAAAATATTTCAGGCCTTTTTTTGTTATCTTGATGATTACAGCTTACAGCCCATGAAAATCCACACTTCAAAATAGCTTCACTTCAAATAATTAGAATTAAGAATATATAATACAGAAATGTCGACCTGAGAAGATCCTTTAATTAGAGCCCGGCCGATATGGAATTTATTAGTCCGATACCAATTTGAGATTTTTAAAGTCCGACAGCCGAAATATATCGGCCGATATTGTTTTTCCCCCCTTATATTAAGAAACGCGTGACATAAACAAAGATTATCCCTAAAATGTTATGTTGAGACCTCACCAAGATACCAAGATATATCTGCAAGTAGCTTATATCGGCCGATGATATCTGCAAAACGATCAATCGGTCGGGCTCTACCTTTAATCTCTGAGTCTGGTTTAGTACACACAACACAACATGAGAAAGACTTCTGACTTGACAGTTGTCCAGAAGACACTCACTGGCACCCTCCACAAGGAGGGGAAGCCACAGAAGGTCACTGCTGCAGGGGCTGGCTGTTCAGAGTGCTGTATCAAAGCATATTCATGGAAAGTTGACTGGAAGGTTAAAGTGTGGCAGGAAAAGCTGCACAAGCAACAGAGATGACCGCAACCTTGAGAGGATTGTCAAGCAAAGCCGATACAAGAACTTGGCGGAGCGTCACAAGGAGTGTGAAAATGAACTCTTTCACGATATTCTAATTTTCTGAGATGCACCTGTAGTAATTTACTTAAAACCAAAATCCTGAAATTTCAGTGCTGCAGTACAGCGTTTCTCAGTGGTTTCCACACTTTTACTTAGACACAATAAACACTCCCTTTAACTCATGTACCAACGCCACCTGAACCAAATCTGTTAAAATACAAGCACATTTTCTGCTTTTAAACTCTTAGGACTGCAGTTCTAAACCACACTTTGTTCAAAACACTGCACACAGTTCTCCACCCACATAGGCGTAAACATAAAATGTACGTACATATCCTGCAAAAAATTCAGTTTTCAATGTGCTTTGATACAGTTTTGGACAAAGCGTGCAAATATATGTTATATTGCAGGTGGTGGAGCCGTAAATAAATAAGAGTTCACGGGTGAAGAAAAGCAAAGAAAAACTATTCACAGTTTGGGCCACATACAAATCTGTTTCACTGACTGCGTGAAGAGTTTTGAATGCATGTTAGTAACTGAAAAAAACAACTGTGCACAGTGTGTCTGATTGACTGTTGCTCTTTGTGTCTAGGTCTTTAATACAGGGCTTGGACTTGTTTGACTCAGGGGCGTACGACTTGTCAGACTGGGACCAGCGCCTTCCTCCTCCGGCTGCCAAAACTGCTGTTCAGACCCTCACTGTGGTCATCATTTCTCCAGAGCAAGCAGGTGACAGACGTTTTGCTTCGGTAGACGTGTCCTGCATTCACATTTACAATCTGTAAAGAACTTGATTATAGTAGAGGGACGGATCCTGCTCACAGAGGATTTAATGTGTTGAATTAGTTTGTACTTGAGGGTAGATTTGTCCTTCACGTGCTCCATCGAAGCCTCTTTTTAGCCTGCAATAGAGGACCAGTGGTGGACAGTAACTAAGTGTATTTACTCAAGTACTGTGTACTTAAGTACAGTATTTGTACTTTAATTGAGTATTTTCACTTTCTACTTCTACATTTCAGGGACATACTGTACTTTTTAACGTCACTACATTAATCCGACAGCTTAAATTTTTTTACACACAAAACATATGAAGAGTTAAAAAAATTTAATGTTTTGTTTATAAATTAAACAGTTTAGAAAAGTACAGCCAGTACATTCGATGATTGACCAAAAATTTAATTGGCAGATATTTTGATAATCGTGTAAGTCATTTTTCATGTAAAACCATTTCATGGTTCCAGCTGCACAAATGTGAAAATTTGCTGCTTTTCCTTTGGATTATTTTAATGTATTTTTGGGAAGGTGTCACTTTGGGCTCTTTTACGATATCGATTAATGGAGAAAATTATCAGCAGATTTATCCATTATGAAAAAAGTCACACATTACAGTCTAATAGAAAATAGTTCAACCTCAACAGTAAAATCCTGCTTTTACATTACAAACGAGTATTAATAATCTAATTATATAATATTTAACAGTCACAGGGGACAGTTAAAATAACATTTTCAATGCAGTACTTTTACTTATAACAGAGCATTTTTACAGTGAGGTTTTACTTAAGTAAAGGATCTGAATACTTTGAGGAACTGGGTTGCGTGAAGCATGCAGGATGCAAGAAAAAAGCACGCGTGTTTCACAAACATTTCCTAGATTTATTATAAATTAAGAGGGATTCAAACTGGCTTCTTGTTTTTACAGACAAAGGGCTCAAGTGTCCCGTGTGTTTGCTGGAGTTCGAGGAACAAGAGACGGTGCGAGAAATGCCTTGCAAACACCTTTTCCACTCAGGATGTATTCTGCCCTGGCTGGGCAAGGTAAAGCTCACACATTTCTAATGTAACTCTGCGTCTTGACTTGTAAGAGAAACGTTACTTAGAATTACTTTTTTTAAATCTTTTGCAATCACAGACCAACTCCTGTCCGCTCTGCCGACTTGAATTACCAACTGACAATCCAGAGTACGAGGAGTTTAAAAAAGACAAGGTGAGTGTGTAACTACGCATCAGACGGTCCAGTTTCCTCCTGTTAGCAGCGTGCTTTCAGGCACCAGCTCCTATCTGAACAGTGTTCGTCTGTCCTGTAGGAGAGAAGAAAACAGAGAGAGCACAGGCTGGAAGACCTTCATGGAGCCATGTACACATGACATGACGGTGCTGTGGTGCAGGTGTTTGTGGTGCAGTGACATTTTACCGAAACTTATGACAAAGGAAAGCTTCAGGAAATGCATAATGCTGCGTTCATGTCATTTCGTATAGAATATACTTTCAAGCATGGCGGTGGGAAGTAACGTCTCATATTTGTACTCACAAGGCAGAAATATCTCCCAAGAAGTATCGAGCCGCTCTATCTAAATAATATCCAATATTACAAATCTATAACACAATAAAGACGATTAATTACTATTTATATGGACCACAAGGCTAGCAATCGTTCTACGCATACTAATAATGTGTGACCGCCAGCAACTGTTCTTTCCTATAATTTGACAAGACTTGAAAGCAGCATAGGTAACTCGTTCAGTGAAAACTGAAACTGCTTTTTCTCTTAAGTTGGATGAATGCTTTTTATTGTGACTAGTTAGGATGAATATATTTTGAGATTTGAGCACTGAAGCACTCAAACATTTCAGCTCAGACTCTTCATTCCTTTTTTATATACATTTATGAGCTTTAAACGCAAGAATCATCTGTTGAGCTGTAATTGTCTAATTGATATGAATTATTTAAAGACTGGAATATGTTTTAACCAGTGACTCCTCTTTTGTTATTGTTCTTCCACAAGAATAACATTTAAATCTGAGAGTTTTAGACTTTTAATGTTATAGTGCGCTCCGGCAATGTAGTATAAGTAGTCTACATTTTAATAAATTTTGGGACGCATTAAAAGAAGAAATGTCAAAATCAAAGCAGATATATCCTGACTTTTAGTCCCTTGTATGGCTCAAACTCCTAAGATGCTGGATCCTGACTCAGACCCGCATCCTTCAAACGGTGTCCTTCGGTGTCAACACAGGCTTTTTGTAAACTGTAAACCGCAGAAGACGTTATGTTTCCACTGGCTGAGTGAACTGACCTTTTATGTGTGAAATCGGAGGCGTTCCCCTTTTAACTTTGTCCCATGATGTTTTGAGAAAGCATCTCCCCTCTTCTGGCCCCACACAGGGGAGCAATTAGTAACCAGTTTTCATCACATGGCAGTGCCTTGCTGCTTCCATACCACAGCGCGGGTGTATTCCAGCAAGCAGATTTAGATAGATAGATACTTTATAAATCCCAAACAGCGATTATGTGCTAACAGTCTGAGCTACTGGATAGTAGACAGGATGTAGTAAGAACTCTGAGTCAGTTAACCCTGAGATGCTTTCATTTCCGGAAAGAAAAGGTAACTTAAACCCTTTTTTAAATTGTCTCCATCGGTCATGATGTGATCGGTGGCACTGGTGGAACATAATCCCTCTCATATTGGAGATTTTTATTACTTATTTATACTTATTTCTTAATGAGCAGGATCGTGGTGCAGCTGCAGAGAGTTCGTTATTTTAATAGAGCTGCGTGAAGTCTGACCGTGTTTTAGCAGCACGTCAGTGACCTTGTGTAACTACATTTGTTAAAGTAGATGAAATAAAGCCACTGAATGCTGTTAAAACAACACTTAAAAACCGCTGTATTTGAATCTCTGTCTTTTCAGATGCAAACCAAACACATTTACTGGATCAGACGTCTAAGTCTTTGAATCATACTAAGAGTTGAATGAACGGACTCTGATCAGCTCTTCTGGAACCGAAAACTCGAGTTTCCCATCTCAGGATTCATCGACTCAGAGTTCAGGGTTAAACTGTTAAACTTGCTTTCTGGAGTACGCCCCCAGTAATCGGGGAAAAACAAAAACATGTTTCCTGTAGATTAACACGCAATAATGGACCGGCAGCTCTGCTCTAACTGCTCAGCTTGGCGTGATTTTTAGCCAGCAGGATGTATGTGCGTCAGCTGCCAAAAGTTGTTTCTATTTGTTCTTGCAAAGATAACCTCTTGTATAAAGAAAAAAAGAAACACCCAAAAACTGTTTCAGGCTGGTACCAATACTATTTCACACTAACATAGTATTATACAGGTGCTGTGTGACTATGATGTCTTTTTAAGCAGGAGCGTGCTGATGATGTTGCTGTTTTATAAAGGAAACAAAGGCAACTTCTCTGCATTTAAAGAACAGCCCATGCAAAAGATCTGCGAATAATTTATCATTTTTATTTCATATTTGAATATAAATCTCTGTCAAATGAAAATACCTAAATGATAGACAAAATCATACATATTTACAGAATTTATATATATAAAAAAAGGAAACAAAATCATCTGTGTTGACTTGATTTCTGGGATTTCTCTTGACTCCATTCTCTTACATGTTTTTCAGATCAAGGAAATATGACTTGATACATTTCTATAGACATTTGTTTCTGTATTGTTTTGCTCAAGTTCAAGACAAGTACAGGTCAGGCAGCCTTTTTGTAATATAAGATTCTCCCAACAACAAAGTGTACATTTTGACAGAAAAAGACAAAAAAGATAAACAACAGATTGTAAAAATCCCCCGTTACGTTTTGGCCAGTGGAAGATGGCGTTACGGAAAAGATGTGGTTACCGAATAAATCCAACCCCGATGCGAGGGCTCATACAAGCTGCCGTTTGTTGTCACACTGTGACTTAGTTACAGTATGGTGAAATAGGCTACAGCTGAACACAAGATACAAAAAGAAATGATCTGACCATGTTCCCCTGGCATAATACAAGGGATAAGGCTAAAACAGTGCACTCATACGAATTCATACACCTACTGCCGACTCACAGAAAAACCATCATAGCTCCAGTGGACTCAAGTCTTTTTTTTTTTGGCAAGATCAGAATTGCTGCAGTCCCAGAAAGAAAGTTAAATAATTTGCACACAAAAAGAGTAAAGAAAAAAAAAGGACCTGACACGTGATTACGCATCTCGTGAGACAGCAGTTCAGTCCAAACGGCGACGCTCGCCATGACGGATCTTTGTGGATTGGAGCTGCATGTGTGCCGCTGCTCACATCAACATCAAACCGCTGTGAGATGGAAAATATGTTTGAACTCTAGCTTTTTGCCACAGAACATCAAAACCACAAAAGATTATTTTTAAAAAAAGAGGTAGGTGACCCTTTTAATAACGTGTATTGCTGGCATCCAGTGGTAAGACGGTTAAAAATGTGTTAACACTACGCAGAGGGCAGAATACTGTGTGTTAATTCTCAAATGGCTCACTCGCTTAAAACAAGAACTTAATCTGATGGTACTTAAATCAGGTGGCATTAGTCAGCTTTAGTTTGTGGCAGTCTGGTGTTGAGCTAATTCACAACCGTAATGATCACATTAAGAGAAATTGGCAACAGGAAATCATAAAAAAATCCTCCATGTGTGACCCACTTTCACATCAATCTAAACTTGTATGGTTATGTCTGGTTTTAACACTGTATTGACACACATTGTAACGGCAGGACGTGTATGGCACAAGGTCCGCGCGCATCATATTCACCTCTCAAGTTAACACTGTGTGAACAAAGCTTCCCTTGTAAGTACTGAGAACGCTTCACATCACTTTTTTACGTAGCAGAAAACCTGTTCTCCAAACTCAAATAAGACGTCCAAGGGTCCAGCCTTGAATCTTATCCGTGTGTGGACAACTTCATCTGCAAATGTGTCAGTCGGATTATAGTTTTACCTTCACGCACCCACGTGTTTTACCGTAAGATGTAGGTCACTTTAAAATAAATAAAAAAAAAAACAGGAAGCAGAGCCCCGTGTTCAACTCCAACACACTGAAAAAGGCATTATTCACTCCCAATGGAGCGTAAACTATCGATGGATGATTGATGGTAGTTATTGCATCGGACATGGCAGTCAATGAAGAAGAAAAAAAATAAAATAAAAAGGTAGCATGAAATGAAAATGTTACATAGAAATGATCAGATCATGCAACATGTGGGACGATAAAAAAAGGAAATGACATCCAGGGAGACGACTTCAGTTAAAAGTGATTGAGACGCGGTCTGAGTCATTACAACAGAACAGACCGGTAGTTTTTTTTTTCTATGCATCCATCATGCACTCACATGTCAATGAAATGGATTATACAAGTATACATATTTTGTAAAACTGTGTGAGAATACCATCAAAATCATCTGTGTAAGCAACTTAAATTGTCAGGTGAAGTCTGACAAATCATTTATGCTTGATTGATTTAAAAAAAAAGGCCATATGCTTGCAGCCTGTAAAAAATACATAACTGTTAACTATCCTCAAACATTCAATATTTTACTACTTACTACGCAAATCCAAAACTCAAAACATAAAAACTTTTTTTCTTTCGTTCGAAGAGTGTGCCGTGCAGAGATAAGCAAAAGGCCAGAGCAGGTGGGCCGCGCAAAGCGTTGGGTAGTTCATGACGGGGTGTCTGGGGTGATGCATTATTAGCAAGAGAAAATAAAACATCTTTCGTTCAGTAAACAACCTACTCGCGTGAACAAATGCCCAAATAAAACAGCCATCTTGGAAAACATTCATGGTGCCAGTGCTCAGACTGTTTCCACACATTCAGCTCTCCTTTCAACGTCACTACAGAAACAGATTCGACTGTAGTGGCTTGAACCAACGTGGGGGGGGAGAAGAAAAGAAAAAGATGGTACAGCATAACAGATGGGATAACTTGGTGTTGGTTCAAATGGTCAAAAGATATCAGAACTCCCTCCACATGCTGCCTCTGTTGTCCTGCCTGGGGGGGGGGGCCATGAAGCACCTCTGCAGTTCACACCTTTGTGCAGAGCTACAACATGGCTATGCTCTCTGGCGTACAGTTGAGATGTGTGGATGTGCTGCTTCCCCCGGGGGACTTGAGGCCCTTAGTCGCCCCGCCCAGAGTCGAGCCCCGGGACCTGGAGCCCATCATAACCCCGGAGCCCAGGTGGTGACTCTGCTGCAGGCCTGCCATCATGGTCTCGCTGGTGACGGTGCCAAACTCGTAGGTGAAGGTGCCGTAGAAGATGAGGATGTCCACCGTGAAGACCCACTCGCAGATGGCCGCGGCGTGCTGAAGGATGAAGCTCTCGTGGATGAAGAAGATGCCGCCTGGGGAGGAAGTTAAGGAGGACAGACACTTCTGGTACATGCGTGAGCAAAATAAATCTTATTCCTATTCTGCAGAATCAGTGGCACAGGAAGGAGAAAATAAGACTGCCTGAATCAATCCCAGGATCTAATGAGATATGACAAGCAGCTTAACCTCGGGGCGCCAGGTGTGAATTAATTATATGATGAGGGTTAAACTGCAGTTGGCTTTGCTGCGCCATCAAACAGAAAAATAGGATACCAGTCAGTGGCTGCGGTATATTCACCTTACTGACTGACTTATCATTTATCAGATAAATAATGTGAATGGTTCTTATCCGGCCGCCAAACAGACGAGGAGAAGGCAGACAGAAATAAAGGATGACAATAATGAGAGGTGGAGAGTCTCCACTAAACTGCTTCCTAATTGGAAGGAGCGGCCGTCAAGTGGGTGCTCTGCTGATTGGGAAACAGCCACTTTGGTGCATTTGAGAGACAACAGGCTGTCAAGGACAAAGCCGGGGCTCAAATGTCAGCGAGAGGCAGGCGGTGGAGAGAGGTCGCCACAGAGAGTGAAGTCGTCAGCTCCTTCACGGGAAGGCGGGAGAGAGAGGGGGGGGGGCAGATGACCGCGAGCCCAGACAGATGTTATCGTGGCCTCGCTGTCCTGGCTCAAAGTTGAGGGACAAACATCGTGATCTGTGCAGACGTGCCTCGAGGCTAGCGGAGTGACAAGGACAGGAAAACAAGACGGCTCTCCAGTGAGTGAGTGCATTGATGTCAGGAGCCATGAAGGGGTTTAACTAATAAGGGCTGGGTGGAGCAATATAGACGAAGCAGTTACACATCCATCCTGGCTTCGGTTTGAACGACGCCACTGAAGAAAACCCTGTTAAATCTAACGAGGTACGAATCCTCGATTAGCAGAGAGATGAGAAAAGAGATGTTGTTAATGAGTTTACATCTGGAGTGACTGGAGTAAAACAAACCTTTTCCAAGGCAGACGTTTTGTCTTGAGCACATAAAATAGAAAAGCACAGGTGTAACAGGAATTTAATGATGGCTCAGTTCCAGTAAGTCATTCCAGCGTGTGAGCACGAACAATATCAGGGCCTTCGAACTGGGTGACCTAAACGGGAGACGGTCGTTATTAATGTTATTAGTTACAACTGTGAATTTCTTGGTATGAATGTCTCTGTCAAAAGTAAAGATGAACTTAAAAGAAGTCAAAAGAAACTCGTGTTCAGATATAAGAAACAGTACATAACTACTGCACCTGCACACCACGGGGGATGTGCCACTAGTGAGTAAAGGATACTGAGGACGAGGGACACCATGGCTCCCAGTGCCAGAGCCACTCGGAAATGGGCCATCCAGTAGTCGAGGGCGGTCACAGCCACCCGGTAGGTGAGCACACACTGCAAGCACACAAACAGCAGCCCTGCTGGAAATGCCACGCCGGCCCCAACGTAGTGTAGAGATTTGGCGTGATCAACCTGACAAACAGAGTCGTACAGTCAGAACAGAAATATTAATTAAGACGAGGAAGGTCAACAATGTTAGGGCTGCACGATATTGGAAAAAAAATGATATTTTAAGATGTTTATTTTCTGCAATATTCATTCAGATATGAAAACCAGATGACTTCAATTGCTCCGTTTAAAAAAAATTAAGCATCCTAGAATTATCGTGGTAATTTTGTACAGGAAAATAGATAGAAAATGAGCTGAAAATTTCTTTTGAGTGCAAACTATCCTTTTCTGAGCTTTAATGCTGTAAAAATATTTTAAAAATAAAAGAGAAGCTAAACACCGACGCCCTGAGTGGTTTACAAATGTTGATTTTCTTTTTGTCTTTTTGATTGTTTTCTCCTGTTCCTCACTCATTTCCAAGTTGTTGTTGACAACTAACGGGGGCGGGGCCTGCTTTGGATGTTTATTAAATTGACCAAGAACAATATTGTGATTGGTGGTTTGCTGTGCATGCAAAGACTGCTTGTCACTCACTAGCAACAAACTCTGTCTCTCCAAGATCCCTTAAATTGGAGTTAATTAATCAGACAGACTTCTCTTGTAGATTAGCACTGTTGGGCAAGTTACTTCCAAAATGTAATACATACTAGTTACTGTCATTTGAGTGATGTGCAGAGTCATATCCGCAGATCTAGTGGGTATTTGTCATAAAAATGTACCTTGTTATTCGTAGCGGTGGGGGGGAGGGGTGAAATAGGATGAATCGTCTCCCCATTAAGACGCTGTGCGCATTTACGCACGGGGTACAGCAGCATTACATCATTGATTATTTGTATTTCCCGACACTCCGACAGGATCTGCCTGGATGAAGTGACAGCAGCCTCTCTAATCATGAAAGTAATTCATTAAAAGCACAAACGCACGGCCTACAGGAATATATTTACGCGTGATCCATCAGGGCAGCTACCGTCTTGTTAAGAGGAGCTGAGCTCCCCGTAGTCTGCCTACAATCTCGACCAGCGGATTCCCGCAACAGGAAATAACGTTGGATATGACGGATATGTTTTTCTGCAGTCGAAATGTTTCTCAGTGTTCAATTATTATTATTTAAAAAACAAAACGCCACTTATTTTCAGGTTAAAATGTGTTGCAACGTGCGTTACTGAGATTGTAATGGGTATAATATTACAGATTTGTTTTAGTAATGTGTTATATTACTGCAAAAAGCAATGCATTACTGTAACTGTGTTACTTTTGTAACACGTTACTCCCAACACTGTAGATTAGACATGGAAAAGGAGAACTGTGCAAGTTTTCCTTTTGTATCAAGCAGCAAAAAAGGTGTTTGAAGGGCACATTGCGATGACGCGAATTCAGGTCATTAAATTTGCTTCAAGAAGTTTACCTGGAAGTTGCCCACCATGACCAGACCCAGAGCGTTGGTGCAGCCAGACACCAGAGCGCTGGTGTTCACCCAGCATCGGTGGCTGTGTTCGATCACCTGGGCGTAGCGCAGAAAGCACACCATCACCACTGCAGGAAACACGGGGGGGGACATGTGCATTTACACAGCATCCACCACACAAGAACACGACTGTAAAAGTCTTTTCATATGAACCTGTGAGCTGGTAGAAAAATCACCGTTTAGTTAATTCAATTACTGCATGGGATTATTTTTGGGGTTTATTACACACATTTTCTTGACCTTGTTAGATTTCAAAATGCTTGTTTAAACATGATGCACTGGTGTAGGCTACACAATGGCGACTGAAACTGGGCGGATCATGTTGTAGATGGAGCTGATCGATTAATTTTACTGAAATTAGCATCACAAACTATAAACCTGCAGGTTGCTGTCTGTTACGGTGCTACCACCAAGGCAGTAAAGCACAGATCAATTATATTACAAGCCACCAACAGAATAGGTCAAAGGTCAAAACTAAAGCATCCAAACAGCTTATACACTCGGGAGAGACAAGCAGAGAGCTGAGAAAAGAAGGAATGACAGATGTGGAAATAAAAACGCAACGAAACATAAAAGACGATCTGGACAACTGGAAAAAATTTAAATACATAACAGAACAAAAGCGGATGGTGATGAATGTGGAGTTTGGATCAACAGTAACAACAACAACAACAACAACAGGGAACAGTTAAGTAATTAAAAAGGCAGAGGAGGACAAACTGGGGGAAAGGTGATAAAACGAGACAAGGGGAGGAGGAGTAAAAGAGGGAGGCCATGGAGACAGAGGGGGGAAGTGAAAGGAAAGCCGCATTCATTATTGATTAGAGAGCGCAGGCTATTTCAAGCCCCTCCGTGTCTCCTAGAGGCCAGTGGCTGACGTCTGTGGGCATCACACAAAATGGACGGAGGGGAGACGGACATTAAACACGTTTCACCTCTCGTTAAAGACCAGACGGCAGCAAATCGCAGCTCTAATCACAGATTCAAACAATTTTTCTTCATTGCATATTGAATAATCAGTATTTAGCAATGCATTTTTACAGACATTTGAAGTACAGAAATGATAGAATATTTCATTAATAAATACATTTTTTATAGTAAATTGTTTGCGTTTAAATACCACAACCAATTCCATATTTTGGGAAATATGCTTGTTTGCTTTCTTGCTGAGTGATAAAAACTAAGCTACAGCCAGATGACTGTTATCTCAGCTTACAAAATCTGCCTTTAAGCACCTCCACAGCTCACTATTATAACAACACATCATACATTGTTGGTTTAACCCGTATAAAAACAACGCGTTATTGTTTTACAGCAAGTTATGTGCTGGAACAAGATGTACAAACTGAACTTGTGACCTTGTGATATGTCATTTTGTGCATTTCGCCTAGAAATAAAACTCCTGGCAATGTTCTTTTACCGAAGATGCATCGGTTGGCAACTTGTATTTACTTGACAGCACTAAATTCACTTCTGAGAATTTGTTGCGAGACAAATTATAGAGATTTTAAATACTGGTAAAATAAACCAATAAATATTGGTTTTATGAAAATCTATCAAGAGACATCTGGCTTGTGATGTGCAGAGAATTCTTGGCTTGTGATAGTTTGAAGGAAAAACTAAAAATAAACAACAGAAGCAGCTGAAAGGGACTGTTGTTGCTTTATTATTATAAATAGGCATTACAGTACAGCGTTTGTTACCAAGCCTGGAATGTCATCATTTTAGGGGCGGGGCCACTTGGCCTTGGGTGGGCAGCCAAATGCCAGGGCAGCAAGGCCGTCAAATAAAACAATGATTTTAAAAGGTTAAAGATGATTTTATTTTTATTGTAATTTAATAACGCTTAGTAATCAATAATCAGAACCATGCATCAGGGACATCGGAAATCAGTCACAGTTGAGGGTGCTGACAGAACTTGATGACGACATACTAAACGGCGCGTGACAACAGACTTAAACACCTGCATACTCCAGGTCAAAGCAGACACAGCAGCTTCACAGTCAGGTGGCCCACGACCTAATGCAGCGCAGCGTGAGGATACAGATGTTTTGTAGGAGGGGACGAGTGTATCAATAGCCAGCCAGCCAGCCAAACCCAAACACTGCCTATGTTAACCCCATCAGCTTCTGACTTACGGCTTCAGCTGCAAAGCCTGGCTGTTACTTTGGAGCACAGCAGGCGGCTGGTATTCTAGCGCAGTATCAGCAGGAATGCATCATCTCAACCCATCAACAGCGTTATTTGTGCTCGTGACCTTGCGAGGTCATTCTTCCCAGAATGATTCCTCAAGAACACGAGTCTATTGTTTGCATTCTTCGAAGAGAGAAGCCACCCCCCTCCTCCACACCCAAACTAAGCACTAGTAGGCACATTTTCTTACATATGGACCTAGGTGTGGAACAGTTACTGGTTTATTGAGAAACCACAGTATAATACCCGAGGGTTAGTATCACAGTAAACACTGTCCAGCATCAAACACAGTTAGCAACGTGGGTTTGTTTTGAGTCAATAAGAACATTTTTCAGCCTGGTTAGAGTCTGAAGTGTGGTCGTATTTTGGTTTGAGGGAAACTTGATCAAATAAAAAAATTTTAAAAATCACATAATAGTGAATGAAGGTAAGTTAACTTTTATCTAAATGCATAATGTTGGGACTTCTGAACATGTCATGGTTTGTCTGTCTGACTTGCTAACAGCTTGTAAACTGAAGCTCAGTATTACCTTAATAAAAGCCCCGGCTTTTATTTGCTAAAATCACTGAATTGACCCTGCCAATTTTCTGGACAGGCGTCCATATGGGACATTTAATTAATCTCGCACAAAACTAAAACATACGCTACTATGACAATATAACAGTTTATTTATTTAAAACAGAATATTACTTGAATAAAAATTATTCAATAATATCAAATATACGTCATTCATTTGATCTAGCTTCGACAGAATGATTATGCGCTTTTATTTTGAAGGAAACAACGTAACAAAAACAACAACATGGTGCAGGATGAGAAAAGTGTGGTAGAAGTTAGCAGACTGAGATCGATGGACTTCACATTTAAAAATTCATAACTTGGATTCATTTTTATGAAAATATTTTGATTCTTTTTATCAGTGGACCCTTACAGAGTAAAAGAATTAATTAATCAAGAAACGGACACATTCGGACTTAACGAGCGCTTTAAAAGGTAACGGAGTTCGGCATTTTTTTCCTCTTGTCCCATGTCGGTTACACTGGTAAATCTATAAGAATTAGACTTTGGGGCTTGTCGTTTCTATTAAATGAAATGAATGATTGAATTGTGGAGAATCTAACGACGTGTAGCATGTTCATACTGACATATTGATCACACGTTTAAACGTTAATATTTGTATTAACAATCTAAGCAGCCTAGAAGCAGCTAAAGCGGGAAACCCAGTGGGGTTTAAGAGGTTTTATACATGCAAAGAACTTATATAAAAACCAGACCGGGCGTTGAATTGAGACAAAATGTGTTCTTGTGTTTGCAGACTCTGTTTACACACTGCACATGATAAACATGCTACGTAATTACGTCACCCAACAAACACGTTTTGTTCTTTTAAAATCCAGCAGTCGTTCGAAGTGGTTATAAAAGTGTTCCAACAGGATAAACAGACTCCTGTACAAGACTCACTGCAGCCATTGTTTTCTTAAGACTCATTTGTATTTATGTAAATTGTGAATGAGGTAATTCCACAGAATTTATAACATATTTAATTTTAATGCACATTTGATATGTTTTCATTCATTTACATAAAATACTGGCTGTTATTGTTTTATTAATTTTTATGCAAACAAAAAGTTCAACGTGCTGCTAATTTTACTGGTTTTTATTATAAAACGTGGTTTCAGTGTATCAGTATTTTTTGGAACACTTTGCAGAGGCACGCAACCTCCGACATGTATAATCGCTTTGGATAAAAGTGTCAGCTAAATACCGCTACTTGTGGTCACTATTATCGTGTTGTAAAATTTTGTTAGTTAATATACAGCGTGCGTAAATAAATCCAAAATTGTAACCCTAACCCTGTGTCGTCTGTGCGCATGTGTGTGGTGGCGGAAGAGGAACACTTGATGAGGAGACTGAGACCCGGCTTCACTGGTGTTGTGCCGAGTTGTCCGCACCTCGCGGGACTTTCGGATAATTTATCACCGTTGAAACATGAACCACACAAAGAATATTTTATCGGTTTTAAATAGCCAGCTACTTGAAATAGACCCGCGAGGAACAGCGACGTGCATGCAGTTGTCGGCATGACAAACTTCTGTAAAGAGGCCTTACCCATGAATGCTCCAAGGTTGCCGATCAGGCTGAACAGGCAGCTTTCAGGAGGGAAGGAGCCACATTTACTGTAACACATGGAGATAAAACAGCCGTCATTGTGACAGGTAGGAGAATAACCTATATCTGCATATATCCCTGTAGGCAGGGCCACAGTCTTTAACCATCAGTCAGTATTTTCCCACCAACAAAGCCATGTACAGTCAACGTGTCATGTAAAAATCATGTAAAACCATCTGCTCCGATATTATATCTAGGTGTAAAACTTTAAGACTTTCCAAATCTGCCATAAAGCCTGCAAGTCTCATGTTGCCTTTTTTTACAAGAGTGCTTTTGTACTTGCCCGTGCGTGGTTAGAGGCTTATTTGCAGATTAAACAAAAGCAATTTATGCAAAGCGTGGTTTAATGACTGTCACAGTGCCACAACATAACAAGGTGCTAATTCATGCCTCGGGGCCTTCGCAGACACGTAACTGCTTTTGTATTCTGCAGAAACAAAAGACTTGAAGTGCAGCGAGGAGGAGAGGTAGAGGAGGAGACCTTATGAGGGGGATGTCCTGGAGGGTGCAGCATGTCTTGGGGAAGCCTGGACGGGGCAGCTCCTCTGTGCACGTTACATTGTAAGACCTGTAGGAGTGACATAATGAGTTCAGTTCATTCCCCACTGGTAGCTGTGGAGGCAGACAAAAATTTAAATGAATAAAATGTTAAGAGTTTTCAAGACAGAAAAAAATCACTCACCAGTTCTCCACAGGACAAACGTGGTGATTCATCACAGCCATGGCGTACCTGTGGAGCGAGGAACACGCCGTCATTTCAAGCAGGAAATGTCAAACAGTGTGTAATCCCTGATTAACAGTTTTCAAGAAAGAAGATTATAAAGGGCTTTTGGCAGGAAAGCATTCACACTGAAGCAACACATGAATACACTCAAATATTAATTAACAGCTTGAATATCTCAACACGTGCCTGTTTAAATGTTTGACAGTGTAAAATAAATACCTTGTGATGCCCGTTTACACATTATGTTTCAGTGTGACAGCATACGTGACACAGTCAAGTTTTAGTCACTCACACTATCCATATCCCTGTGATGGAGAAGGCAGACAGGCTGACAGGCAGGACGATCCAGGCAGTCATTGGGCTGGCAGTGAGCTGGCTTTGTCCCAAGCATGGGGTAAGAGGGGGGCTTCGGGCAGGAGTGTGCGACACAACAGGAGGGATCAGGTGGGGGGGGTAGGTGGGGACGCGGGGTCACTAACACGCAGGGAAACACACTGGGGAGGGCATGAGAGGAAAAAAGGGGGAATGGCACAGCTCTTCTGCTCCACAGGGCCCTGCAACCAGCAGCAACCTGGAAGAAGAGAGTTTTAGAAATACACATTCAGTCAAACTACTGTAAATCTGCGATGAGGAGTTTCTCTTTCAGTCAGTCATCGCCTACATTTCACTTAACGGTTCAGTGTGTAATATTTAGGAGGATCTACTGACAGAAATGCGATATAATATCCAGAACTATGTTTTCAGTGGTGTATAAAGACCTTACATAATAAACCGTTATGTTTTTATTACCTTTAGAATGAGACATTTCTATCTACATACCTGCGGTGGTCCTCTTACATGGACGTCGCTATGTTACGCCGCCATGTTTCTACAGTAGCCTCAACGGACAAATGGCTCAAGCAGAGTGCATTTTTGTCACTACGTTGAATACGTACGAATAATAAAAACTAGTAGGAGTCGACTGGTTTATTAGAAGTAAGAAAAGAAGAGAACTTTGGACAAATGGAGGTCTACACGTATTATTTAGCACAAGAGCTGACAGAGCGTGTCGGTCACCGCGCTTGAAAAGGGAGGGGTGAGCGGTGCATTCATGTGGTGTCGGAATAATCAAAATTATTTTTTCCTCCTTAATTTTTTTATTGCAATAAGAGGAAGACACACGTTACATGGGACATAAATAAGTATACAGAACAGTATACAAATATAGAAGAAGACACAAATAATGAAAACTTTGCCACTTTGCAATATAATTTTCCTCAACAACAATACAATAAATGTTCAACATAACCTCAATAAATATTTGCTTTAATTCATTTGAATCACAAACAAATTAGCATTTCTCCTCTTAAAATATTTATTTTGTTGAAAAAGAGAGGCCTGAAAAAAGATTAACTAATCATATTTAGAGCTGCCAGCTCTCATTGGCTGGATGTGGATGTAGAGTCAGCAGACAGCTCCAGATAATTAGCATACTAGATATATTTCTGGCGTCTGTGATCACCGACTCTCGCGCTCTGCGACTTGCAAATTGGGCTTAAAATCGTGTAGTGTGGACTAGGCTTCAGACTACAGCTGACATGCATATACATCCTGTGGCTAGTCCTGCCACTCGGCAGCCATCTTGGTAACGCCTCTGGGCGGTTATTTCGGACAAACAAGACCAGGCCCCTATCTGAATGAATGGGGAAGAGAGCCACAACTGCACTTTTACTGGTCACCGGGACATAAAAACTGCATGTATAGAATCAGCAGTAAAATCTGATTAAAAACCGCAGAAAAAGTTTGATGACTTTGCCCCCAAAAAAGGTTTAAAAAGCGTTTTTTCCCCACAAGTAATACTTCTAATACGCATGCGTAGTAGCCCCTTACGTCAGTGGAACCACACGATTGGCTGACACATGTTTCCCGCAGCAGACAATTGGCTTTCTAGTGGGAGGGGCAGGATAACCGCCATCTTTGGCGTTACGGGCTTTCCCTGTAGAGTTGTACTGAGGATTCTTAAAGTGGCGTGTCTCCTCTATAAAATGTCTCTGGAAGTAACTAGTATGTGGTCTGTATGGTATATACTCCTAAGACCATTACAGAAACAATTCCACATCACTGTCAATCTGTGGATCTCTCTCTCATGAGCTCGTAAATCAAATTGAAACCGTGTCTAATGAAAGAACGCAAATTGTTGAGCTGTTGTCGGCTAAACTCAGTTGAAAGAGGCCTGTCGCTGGAAGAACTAGAATCTCTGCCTCTTTTTAGAAAATCATAATTATGGTGAAGCTGAAACATGGTCCAGGAATCTGTGATAAGATTTTATTTTTTGCTTCCTCATCTAAAAATCTGATGATGTCCGTGTGTTGTGGTGACTTTCCTCTAAGTGACACCAACTGTGATAACACAAGTACAGTGTACACCGAGCCCTTTGTACAAAAACATTTTATAACAGAGCGTTCAGATCAGGGGGTATCTGAGGTTTTGGCTCACAGGGATTTCTTTTAAATACTTTGACCTCATTATATGAAGCTTTGGCCATGTCTAACATGAACATCCAACATTGTAACATTATGGATAAGTCATAAAATGTGACAAAGACTAATAGGTCTCCTTTAAAGAGAAGTGTAACTGTAAATAAAAATATCTGGGGGGGGGCAAAGTGAACCCTTGTGAGAATGAAGCTTCAGTCAAGGTCAGCTCTGTGGTGGAGCGAAGCATGGGACAACACAGGCTGTATCGTTTTACAGTCACAAGCATGTCCCTTTGCTCAGAGGGAATATACAGTGAACTAGGATGAACACGTCTAATCCAAATGTTATTTTACACATTTTATATCTGCGATTACTGCAGGGCTGCAGGAAACCTTGATACAGCCATTTGAAGCCCCTTAATCTTTGCTCTCTGTTGTGATTTGATGATCACTGTAAGCTTTCTATAATTTTCTTTTTAAAGTTTCACTTCATTTCCTGTTATTATGCAGAGACAGGAAAAACCAAGGCTCACTTCTGCAAAGCCAACACCTCAAAAAGAGGCTAATTTTTTTCTACATTTTGTCTTTGGCAGCATGTTTCAGCTCTGTATAGGAGCGCATAGGGCCCTACGATTTCCACGATGCGGAATCACGAAATTTGATAATAAAAATGGAATCGACTGTAAAACGCGGAATATCATTTAGTCTGCCAAAGTTTGGATACAATATATAAAAATGTGAGATTTTCCAGATGACTAGGGGTGTGCCAAAAAAAAAAAAAAAAACCACTATACAGCTTTTAGCCCATCATATTGATACATAAAAAATAAAAATAGCGCTTTAACGGTTTGCTCAATGCTAACATATAATGGGAATCTCCATTAATGTGCTAAAGGACATTAGCATCGCTATCGCAATATTATCATCTTAACATAAACACCATATTTTGCTTCACATGCTTAATATCCTGAGTGACATACTGTGCAAATACTTAAAGTACATGTTTCCTGAGCTCTGAGTGGAATAAAAAAAAGACCTGCTGACGTCACTGTCTTGATCAAAACTCAAAATTACCAGTGGCCTAAAAATACAGCTACCACTAGGTGGAGAAAGGGCAGCACAATGTGTCACTGAACAGTGATCATTATAACGTGATGTACATATTAGACTTAGGTGGTACACAGCAATTTGTATTTTCAGCAAGAATTTCAGTGAATTTGTATTTTACGTGCCTTTTATAAAGAAAGGTTTTTCTAATAATTTTTCACAGTTGCTCTGTAGTTTTAATTTACAGACTGAAAAATGTGTGCGCCAGAATTGTTCTGTTTTCTAACAGTTTGGATTTGCAGCCAATAAATAGGGAACTTTTTCACAAGCATTTTGTATCTCATAGACAGATATCGCAATGTATCATTTTAGGATTGTCTAGCGATATATCGATTATCGCACAATTGCTGTATTGTGATATTAACACTTTTCTAGCAGTTTCAGCCATGATGTGTGTGTCAGGTACCATTAACGTTTAATGACATGCCCAAGGACATTCAGCTTACTTTATAGTTCACCAAGACATGTTGTTGTTGTGATGTTAGCTATAGCAGCAGGAGAGCTGTGAGTTTTGCAGTCTGGAGCTGCTGTGCTGCTATGGGACCGTCTCGTCCTCTTGTTAGTTTTACGGCAGCAAGTAGCAACAGTTTGTTAACCCACAACTTAGCTAACGTTAGTTACATTACATGCTGTGTCGTTGTGCAGTCTATATCATGGTATTTGTCATGGTGTTGGATTTCTCCAGAATCGCGTAAGTTACCCCACCTTTATGATGCAGCGAAATATCATTAGTTAATGTTGGAAATTAACTCAGTAACAGTGACTTGTGATATTTTATTGAATTTAGAAAAATGTTCTCTCTCTCTCTCTCTCTCTCTCGGGATATGCATTGGTTGTGATATCACGCAGCCCTAAATATTATAGTATTTTAATACCCTACTGTTGCAGTATGTTTATTATGACTTGTCCCCATAAATAACTGCATATACATTTGAATATTTCTATATGCATATTTGCATGATACATCAAATTCACTGATATTTTTATATTTTGTTATAGAACAAAATGTTTGTATTTTTTTGTGAACTGTTGACATTGTATTAAACCACCACTCTCTCTCTCACAACAAAATGTGCTTAAATCCTAAAACACAGAACTCAGAAAAAGTAAAACATGGAAATTTCATAGGGCCCTAAGTACATTTAGATTTTAGACTATTAGAGCTGCAGCAATTAATCAATGAATCAAACGACATAAATTGCCAACTATTTTGATAATCCAATCATTGTTTTGAGGCATTTATTTAAGGCAGAATGCCCAAATTCTCTGGTTCCAGCTTCTCAAATGATTATTTTCTGGTTTCCTGAATCTTCCATGATAGCAAACTTAATATCTTTGGGTTTTGGGCTATTGATTGGACAAAACAACACATTTGAAGACGTCGCTTTGGGCTCTGGGGATTTGTGATCCTGACAAACAACTTCAACAGATTAATTTATAATGAAAAATAATTAGTAGGCTTGCATCTAAAGCGTTTTTACAAAGTTATCCCCCATCACACTTTCGAATTAAACTGATGTAAAACCACAGGACAGATTGATTTCAATTACCACCAAATGCACCATTAGAGGTGATTGTTTTGTTAGTCACCAGTTGTAAAAGTAGGCTTTTAAGGGAAGGATTTGGTGTGGTTAGTGGTTAGAGTAAAGCCTTAGCAGACAGACTGGCCATTATTGATACCCCCCACAACCCTCCATACTCTAGAAGACAAAGACTCACCCACCCCCCCCATCTGCCAAACAGATTCCTCCATCTGCATGGACATGATTACACAAACAGACCTGGAGTCACAGTGAGCATGCAGACATTTGCTCCTAGCAGCGTTTGATGATCAGTTTTGTTTGGAGTATGCTGCTGACCAAATACTTGACCTCTCAGTCTTTTGTTTCATCCACTTTTCTCTGAATTAGGTAAATACGTTTGACGGGATCTTTACAGGTTGCTCTGGTAACCCATGTTTTTCTTTCTCAAATAAAAACCCTTCAGCCAAGATCGAATATCCATCAACTTTTACATTAATCAAAAGAGAAAAGACTCAATTTTCTTAAGCCGTTTTGTTTTTGCCTCTTGATTGTGGTTAAAAGTGCATTAGAATTACTCTTTATTTCAATAATTTGTCAATTAGTCCTTTGAGCCGTGTTTCCACTTTATGTCTAAACTGTGTTCTCCTTTTCTCAGGTCATTTCCATAAACTAACACTGAGACTACATTTGTATAATGTTCACATGCAGCTTTGTTTCAGACATTCACGTTGCTCTCCCACGCTCAATGTTCAAGAGCAGCCGTTTCCTCTTTTGGTTTGGTGTACATGAAAGTTGTTTCCCTTTTCTGAATGTATACAGTCAGCAGTGTCGAACGTTTACAAAGGATTTTGAAGTCAAATATGGCGCTTCAAGTAAAGGCTCGAATACTCACTGCAAGTTGTGGTTGTTTCACACTAGATAGTAAAAACAGCCAGTCAGCCTGACATTGTTGACCAACAGCAGGCAAAAGAGGGAGGTTTGTACAATACGTCAACTGGTGGACATTTTCAAATTCTACACATAATTATTTTAAGAGTTTGTGATATTAAAACACATGGGCTCTGGTGTGTATGTTATGCATGCATCCATTACTAAACTATTGGTGACAACTTCCCGCTGCGGCGACCTATGGATAGATTTTCTAGCTGTGGAAGAAATCCGCCTGGACTTTAGTACGTTATATGATTTCACACCTTCTCTAACTATTGTATCAGCTATATCCTTTAAATTGGTAAAGTGTTGTTCTTTCCTTGCGTCAAATAAAACATGTTATTACTAATTTATCAATTCTGATGATCCATGTGACCCAAAGAAAACTGTTCATCATTATTATCAAAACAAACAAAGGCTACATCCACACTACTACCTTTTCGTTTTAAAACGCAGAACTTTTGCTACGTTTGCGCCTCCCGTTCAGAGGGGGAAGTTTGAAAACGCTGCCAACCCGTTTTCGTTTTAAAACTCCAGGGTAGCGTTTTAGTGTGGACAGGGGATAACCAAGGTTGACACAGATACTCATGTTTGGTTTCCTGATTGGGTTTTATCAGTCATGCACAGCAAAAACAGGATGCTACTGACAGTATTTTAGTTTTGGTATGTTTATTAAAATATTTTGTACTGTGCATGTTGCCTATTTGCTTTGCAACAACTCCCAGTCTGTTTTCTGCCGCCACACTCACTTTGTACTCCCGGGTTACTTTCAGCAACAGTACCATCTCATTGTCGGTCAATGCAACAACAAAAAAAAAAATCTCTTGTCTGGTTCTTTATCTGTAGTATTGCTTTCTTCTTTCGCCAAATCTTATGCAACTGCGGAGTAGACAATCTGCTTCATGTTTACACCTGCAGATTTCACTTAGTAATTTTAATATAGACGAATATCAAATCTGATACGCTGCTAAAACGCTGGTGTGTCCTTTTCAATTGAAAAGGAAACGAAGTAGTGCGGATGTAGCCTGAATGTCAACCTCTCAGTAGGGCTGAGAAATAAAACATTATTAAGTAATTTTACCCATGCATATTTTTTGATAATTGTTTTGAATGTTCTACCTCAGATATGTGAAATATGTGTTGTTTTTTCTTACCATATAGACTAGTTTACCACAGTTAACCACCTGGTTTCTACAACTTTCACCCAGCAGCAAAAATCAGCCTTTAAACCTTTATGATTTTACATTTATATAACATTATTTGGCCATTTCGCTCAGCGTAGCCTCTCAGTGAAAACCATACAAAATGCAAACTCCTCACAACATTTAACAAAAAGCAAAGTAGATAATATTACGGACTCCAGGAACAGGTGTAAGTATCAGTATAACTTACCTGTTTAATATTCTTAATATAAAAAACTGTCTCTGAGTGTATATTATCGGGGGGGCCATAACACCCCCCCGCAGCCATTCAGAAAAAATACTCGCCACTGTTCTTGTAAGTCTCGACACAACTGTGATGATGTCTTTTAATAAACACCGAATTAAAAGTATCCACTACGGCAACCGAACAAACGGAGCAACATCACTTGAGTTCGGCATCCTGCTCCGGTGAACCGGGCAGCGGCAGCGTTAGCTTTGTTAGCTTCAACCTAGCTCGCCTGTTAGCTTGATACTTTACCAGTTGTCTTCACTTGACACTTGCCCGCGTCTTGATTTCCGCTAATATACGCGATAAGCTGCTACACAAGACACAGTTAGGGGACAAGAACACCGACGCTACTGAGGCAGTCGGTACAGAAAAACAAGTGTACACCTACCTTCAACCTGCTATGCCCACCACAGACCTCAACAACCTTGGTTTCCCTTTAAAAACAGCGTTTTCTTAGCAGACGATGCTAGCGGCTCAAGGAACGTCCGGTCGCGCTTTTCAAAATAAGAGATAACGATAGTTTATTTCTAAGAAATAAATAAAAAGGCTTTTAGGAGATTATAGTTTTATTTTTTTATTTTTTTTACAAAATCATTTCTTTCATGGCACAGTTTAAAACGGGGAATATGTTTTTCAGTGCTACCAAAATGTACACAAACAAAAACGATACCGGTCACCTGAGTTTGTACACCAAGCAATAAAATGTAGGCTATACCTGCGCCTCAGTTTCAACATGTGTTCATTCCAGTTTATCTTGATTTGATTATTTTTGTAGGCAAATGTGACGCTTTTATTTTCACACAATCGCATAATGCATTGTCCTGGTGTAAATAACTTGACGCATCTCTCAGTGTTGTCGGGCCCCACTGGGCGGCACCTCTGTGTCTGTAGTTTGTGGTCAGATGCAAGTCCACTGAGAAGTTTAATTTTAAATCTGTTAGGTGATGTAACCACTAAAATTAAAGAAGGAGAACGTTTTCAGTTTTAAAATGATATGATGTTTGCAGGACTACGTGGGATTTTCAATCTGGAATGGGATTTCAAATGTATACACTTTTTCATTAAACACATCTCTTGTATAACTGTACAAAACATATATGTGTGCGTGTTTAGAATTCATGCATTTTCTTTCCAAAATGTAATGTTTTTCTGGAGCAGCCAAAAAATACTCCATTTATAATGGGGGAAATACATATATATATAGAAATACTGTAGCCTTTTTTATATTTTTTACAACCAAAAGGTCTTAAGTTAAATTTCTAGAGATTTTAAACTAAATATTAAGGAGACCCAGCTGCGATGTCAAACCAAATTTGTCTGTCATGGACGTTTTCCACTGCAGACATTTTTTTGTGCAGGAAAAGCACAGGTGTTAATCAATAACAGTAATTAACTCTGACACACAAGACCCCCACCAACACCTAACAGCTGTACAATCACAGCTTCAGCTGCTTCTCTGTGGGTTATATTGTAACTAATTTATTGGAAAACATGTGAATACTGAGATGAAATGTGGCAATTCAATTGAATAATAAAATTTGTTTCAAATTTATAATTTTATATAATAATAATAATAATAATAATAATAATAATAAAAATATTCATGATTTAAAGTCAGAATATAAACAAGTTACCCTATTTAAAATGTATGTTTAATTAGTTTTTGATTCCTTTTCTAAAATTTTAATGAGTGTTTTCAACGTTAACCATTTTCAAAAAACAGCTTGAGAGTCAGTTTAACTGGCTATCAAGCTGACGAGTGGCGCTGCAAATTCAGAAACACCAGAACCAATCAAAAGCATCAGAAAAAGAAGACATTGCGCATATGAAAAACATGCAAAGCAACAAAATGAATATTATTCATCGTGTAGCTTTGCTTTTTACATAAAATATTCTGATGTAACCACTAATGTAATTGTGAACATTTTCATATGTATCTGTAATTTAATTAGAATTTCTTTCTCAGTAACTGTAACAGATTACAGTTACATTTAACTAAATTACATGTTACTAGTTACTCCCCAACGCTGCAAATGTACATATATATACATCCATAATTATACCTACACATATGCACATTCATAAACATACACGTGCACAATTGCACAAACCTTTAACCCAAAATATGAATGAACGGCATGTATACCAGTATTCAACTATAGTGTACATATATATATATATATATATATATATACTAATTTATCTCTCTCTCTCTCTGTATATATATATATATACAGAGAGAGAGAGAGATAAATTAGTCAGGACAGGGCAATTTTTTTATAAATGTGATTATTAATCTGATGCTAAGTTACATGAAAGGGTGCATATATGGAATTAGACATTTGTTCTAATCTTAATAATGTTTCAAAGGTTTGTAGCCATTATTTCTTGTTTGTGTTATCGGTTGTCTTCCAATTAACTGCTATATAGGATAAATTATATTATATAATATAAATTCTGGTCACGTATTATTATTATTATTAATTTTACTTTGAGTTAAACAAGGTACAATTTAAAAGCAAAAATAAGCTAAATGAGCTTTCTAAAAAATAGCTTTTGATTACAGCAGATTGAGTTTTATTGATAATCTAGTCTATTCCCTTTTTAAATCAGCTGACATAAACACGTGAGAGATTTCATGTGCTCACTTCGCAGTAGAGCCTCCAGCTGTGGAGGGTGGTGTTTGCTTAACATGTATTACTTATTCCAAATAACATTAACATCAGCTCTGATCTATTCAAGTGCCCCAGTAAGCGATGACAGTGGCTAACCAAGCTCAACAATCTTACAGTGTCACACAGTACAATACTGGTGGAGAGAGAGGTGTTTGCTCTCTCTCATTCATTCATGAGTTCATAACAATAGATAACTTTCAAATGCTAATGTGACATTTACCAAACCTGAAAATATAGCAAATAGAAATTGCACCCAACATTCGGATAAGCCAATCAGGCTGCTTCTCTTGAATGATGTCACTGTCACAGTACCACACATTTAAATGTGTTTAATATACATTATGCATAATGATTGCGAGGTGAATGTTATTCATAATGACACATGCTGTCAAACTGAACTTACAGGCGCAACTCCTGAACAGTCAGTACTGGTAAATTAATACTGCAAGGGTGCCTCCTTGCTTAATCTTTGTGGAACAAATTAGCGTATTCAAACACTTCTAATTGCATGCTGTATTTTGATTGCTTGACTGGACCCATGCTGCTATTGTTACAGAACTGAACAATCTGTGTTTGGATATTCCAGATGTAAATAACAGAGAATATATATGACAGGAGGCTTTATAAACCTACATGAGGGATTTTAATCTACATTCTTGTTTTCCTAAGCAGCTTTGAAGGGACTTTACTAAATCATGAGAGCAGATGATATAAATCCTAATGAAAAGCAAATAAGAGATATCTATTGATTGATTGCTTTGCTTTACAATCCTGCTCCCCACACTATTACTGGATCAATAAGGAATAAAATGTTGAAAGGAAACATAAATTTAGTTATTTGTGCGGAAATACATAAGAGCAAAGGGGCGACCATATAAATAACAAAAGAACAAACAGCAGCAGGTGCAATATAACATTATTTGAGGTTAAAAGCTAGTCTAAAAAGGGGGGTTTTGAATATTCAATTGAAAGGGTCCATGTCGCTGCAATCTGGGATGTGTATGGGTGAGGAGTTCCACAGGGAGAGGGCTGCGATGGTGAAAGCTCTGTCGCCCCAGGTACGGTGCTTGGTCCTGATTTGTGGGGAGAGGAGGTTAGTGTCAGAGGAGCCGAGGTTACGGCAGGGATTGTGGTGGTGGAGCAGGTCTGTGAGGTAGGAAGGGGCCTTGTTATGGAGGGCTTTATGTGTGAGGAGGAGGATTTTGTACTGAATGCTTTGGGGAACAGGGAGATAATAACTTGAGTAAGACTTACATGACTGCAGGGGTGGCTGCCATTATGTAGAAAGACGCAAGAGGATGCAAGACTGATTGTGTTTATCCACCTGTAATGTTTGTCATGGCAAATTGTTTGACTTGTTTCAAACAAACATCTTTGTCCAAATTACTGCTGAATAAACAAAACAAAAGCCAAGGCCTTGTACTGCCGCTGACGCGACGAATACCAAGGTTAATCTGCAGCCCACAAGTCTGCTGTCCTTTTATTTAACCACCGTGAGTAATATTTAATTATATTTTAAGGTGTTATATTATTATATATCATTTAAAGTGAGACTATGTAAGTAAGGTTGTAGCAGAAAATCCTTCAGAGTACTGAATATATTAAGGGTGCATTTTATTGTTAATGACTTCAAGAGGAGGATTGAATATTTCTTTTTTCAAAAGTTACATACACCAATCAGCCATAACATTAGGACCACTGACAGGTGAAGTGGTTGGGATATATTAGGCAGCAATTTGAACATTGTGTCCTCATACTTGATGTGTAGGAAGCAGGAAAAATGGGTAAGAGTAAGTATTTGAGCGACTTTGACAAGGCACATATTGTGATGGCTGTTGGATTGGATGTGGAGGAAATCACACTGCAATTAATTACTTTTTTAATTTATGGCTTATTCTGCTGACAATTTTCTCCATTAATCGATTGTCAAAACTTCGAAAATAGTGAGAAACGTTGTCAAAATTGCCCGCAGCCCAAAGGGACACCTTCACCATGCTTCTTAAAATGATTTTAAAAAAATGCACTAAATAATCAAAAGGGAAATCTTTACATTTGTAAAGCTGCAAACATTAAATGTTTTTACATGAAAAATAACAAACATCAACAAATGTACTGGTTGTACTTGTATAAACTGCTGGGTAGTTTAATTTATAACAAAACATATATTTTTTAATTTCTTCATATGTTTTGTGTGTATAAATCTACTAAAGCTGATAAGATAAGAGAAGAACATAAATGTAGTGAAGTGAAAAGTACAGATGTGGTAGACTGGAAGCAAAAAGTGGCATGAAAAGAAAATACTCAAGTAAAGTACAAATACCTTTGTAATAAAGTACAGTACTTGAGTATATACCCTTAGTTACTGTCCACCATTGCAAATACTCATTCATATTAACATTTTATTTTCTTTTATTTGCTGTGGCCTCTTCTTTCCGGTGTGACCCTCTTGGTTACATGACAAATCCAGTTTACCTCTTGTTCTTTTGACACACTACACTAACAAGACTAGCTTAAGTCTGATTGCTCTATTAAAATACCACTTCTTTAACAACTTAAATCCTCAATTGGTTTGAACTAGTCAGCGGCGGTTGGCACCAGGACGGTAAATAAAGGTAAATATACCGAATGATTCATAATGCCATCAGCCAATGGCCTTACAGACTGCCATCTCTGGTCAGCTGGCTCTGTTAATCAGCAGGACAATAATCTGATATCCAATAAAAGGATTCAATCTCAAGCAAACTTATGTGCTACTTTTAAGTAGAAATTCCATCTGCTTAAATCACAGATAACGTGTTTTAATGACATATCACAACCTTACTGATATATCTGTATAGGTCTAAAATAAAATCACAAGATTATTTCCTAGACTTTGAGTCTCTGAAGAATCACGCACCCCCTCCCAATCAGGAAGTAGGCTAATGCTTAAAGCCTTTATCCTCTTTTATGTATCCACCAGACTTTCTTTGTTCCCCTTCAGTACATATAATGTTAAATAATTGCACAAATAAAACCAACATAAGAACTTTATTGTCAATTTGAAAAAGATGCCTAACCTCAAATAAAAATGTGCAAAGTATTTTGTGATGTATCTACGAAGAAAATCCTCAGAAGTGTTGAAGTTTTCCTCAAACAACACCGAAGAAACAAGACACGCAATGGTATTTTCGAGTCATAGCCTTCCAATATGACTTACTTGAGTAATCTGAGGGGATTGCAAAAAGATTAATGCACGGTACAGTGCCTATGTATTCATAAATAAATGTGAGTGGAAACAACTCTGATTGTTGACTTCAAATCACCAAAAACAGCTGAAAACACTATCAGCGCATATCATGAAATATTTATAAACTAAAAGAGGGGGAATTCAGAATGGCTATTTGATGAAATATGCCATACAGGCAACGTCAGCCAGGCAGCTCAGCAGGGGATAATGGTATTTAGATGTCCTGTAAGCACGTGGATCCTCTCAGTCAGCAACATTAATGGGGCCATGAGGCATCCTGCTCATGTCCTCCACGCTTAGGTGAAGGGGTATTAGATAGCCGTAATGCTGGCAGGTCTGGGCGCTCTGTCCGCTGTGTAGTGTGGGGGAGATCAACATGGGGACCACCAGCAAGATGGTCAACTTGTGGAACAGGAGACAGAGTCTGTTCCCCAACTACAAAGTCACCGATTCAGACATTAATCGAAGACCTTCTGAGACTGCTTATCCACTAGCCAAGGAAAGCTGCGTGAAGACATGGAACTCCATGCAGGAGCTGAGCAGGGACATCTACGACATTTACGCCGAGTACGAGGATGAAGAGGATGAAAATGGTCCGTCAGGCTTCAACAAGCAGAATTCACCCCCCAAGAAGAACTACATGATCAACATCAATGTAGGGGGGAAGCCATACCAGATACCGTACAAGACGGCTGCCAAGTATCCCAAGACCAGAATAGGGCGACTTGCCACCTACACGGACCACAACATGAAGCTGGACCTGTGTGATGACTACACTGTGACCAACAACGAGTACTTCTTTGACAGAGACCCAGATGTCTTCCACAGCATCTTCAACTTCTACAGGACTGGCGTGCTGTGGATCAAGGACGAGTTGTGTCCCCGCAACTTCCTGGAGGAGATCAACTACTGGGGCGTGAGGATCAAGAACACCCACCGCTGCTGCCGCATCTCCTTCGAGGAGAGGCAGGACGAGCTGAACGACCAGCTGAAGATTCAGAGGGAGCTGGAGGCAGAGGTGGAGATCGAGGAGAATGAAGAGCTCTTTCAAGACATGTTCATGGGCCATAAGCGCAGAGCCATCTGGAACTTAATGGAGAAGCCGTTTTCGTCAATTGAGGCCAAGCTGATGGCGGTGGCCTCCAGCCTGTTTGTCCTGATCTCTCTGGTGGCCATGACTCTCAACACGGTGGAGGAGATGCAATACAGGACTCCTACAGGTCAGCTCAGTGGTAAGACATACTGGGAATACGTGGAGTCCGTTTGCATCGCCTTCTTCACCACGGAGTACCTGCTCCGTCTGGTGTCCACTCCTGATCTCAAATCCTTCGGCAGGAGTGTGCTCAACACCGTGGACCTGATCGCCATCCTGCCTCAGTATGTGCAGGCCATCCTGGAGTTCTTTGACAATGAGGAGAACTACATGAAGCACGAGGCCGACATGCAGGCGGTGGGGCAGGTGGGAAAGCTGGGTCAGGTGTTGCGGATCATGAGACTGATGCGAATCTTTCGTATCTTAAAGCTGGCGCGACACTCCACGGGTCTGCGTGCGTTTGGCTTCACTCTGCGTCAGTGCTACCAACAAGTGGGCTGCCTCTTCCTCTTCATCGCCATGGGCATCTTCAGCTTCTCTGCCATGGTGTACACTGTGGAGCACGACATGCCACAAACAAACTTCACCAGCATTCCTCATGCATGGTGGTGGGCAGCGGTAAGTACATCTTTGTAAAATGTGAAAGTGTAAAAGACCAGAAGGACAAAAACTCTAAAGTAACAACAAAGAGGGAAAATGCACAGCAACTTTTTAAAAGTACAAGAAGTATGGAAACATTCGGGATCGGGTACTTGAATTACCTTAATGCTGACATAGTCGCTGATCTCTGTAATGTTATTAGATTATGGAGAGGTCAGCGCGGGCCAGGGTCAGATTTAAAGTAGGCTATACAGATTGTTTATTTATATAGTATATTTACTGATTTATTAACGGCACCTGGTCAGTTGTACAGGGTGGAATAACCTGGTTAATGCCTGCACTTAAATTGTCTTTATTGGAATTAAACACACAGCCTAAACCTTCCTGTCCCTGTCACTCCGGTCCCTCTTTGACCACATGGTATTATCTAACTTGTAATTAAGGGGAAGGAAATGATGATCTGTTGCATGACAGAAATGGTTAAAGTGAAAGGAACTGTGAGGATTATGCACTGCCACTGATTCCTGTTGTATTCATATGAACAGAAGCAAGAGGATTGTGTGCCACCTTTGAGTCACTGGAGCTATCACTTCTGTTAGCAGGATTTCTCGAAAAAACTATGAATGGAAAGGGAGGACATGGAAGAGGGACATCCCGATTAACTTTTTATAACTTTGGCCACTGGGGTATGACAGTGGGCAGGGCTTCTCTCTAAAAGTTAGATAACGATAACAAATATCCACAAACAGGCATTTGGAGAATACAAACGCTATCTCAGCTGCAGTCTGAAAGGAAGAGGTGTGATGCGATTAGCGACAATCTGCGTTAAGACGTTAATTTACCAACAATTCACAAAACAGAAGCCTAGACAATATTTTCTTGATCCACATGATAGTCCTTAAATTCAATACCATGTAACAGAATATAATCAGTTAACTTTACTGGGTTTTTCATGGTCTCTGTGGATGTTTTTTTCTTGTTACTGGTTACCTTTTTATTCTTATACTTTTTAAATATGTATCCCTGTCACTGGAATTGTGGGGATTGTCATGTTGGTTGGTCTACTTTCCTGTCCAATAAAGGCAAAATGCCCCAAATCATTGGCAAATGGCCACATGTGTCAGCTGAGGTCTACCACACAGGACACTGACTGATCTGGTAAGGTTTGTGTTTTTACATGTTTCTTCATCACCACTGACTGCTCTCCTCGTTCAACTGCAGGTCAGCATCTCCACTGTGGGCTACGGAGACGTCTTCCCAGAGACCATACTGGGCCGTATTTTCGCTTTCATCTGCATCTCTTTTGGAATCATCCTCAACGGTCTGCCCATATCCATCCTCTTCAACAAGTTCTCAGATTATTACTCTAAACTCAAGTCCAACCAGTACACATCCGCCGTGAAGAAACGAGGGAGGATGAGATTTTACAAGAGGACAGTGAAGAAACTCAACCACTGCTTTGGAGACAACCACTGTCCTGGACACTGATTTATAATGTGACTTTTTTTTATAAAGAAATAACATGCTTACCTCTAACAGGAGGGTTCAATACAAAGTAGTGGCACATCTGGTACATCTTTCCAGTAAATTGGCAGCTTTTGTGGTTGGGAAACCGGTGAGGGATCACACACAATGCTATCTTCGCCATCTCCAAGCCAGTTAGCAGTGACAAGGACAGCACAGTTCAGGGGGTAAATTTTCCACACTATGTGGGGAGAACAAGGGTCAGAAAATCAAGCAGGATGACTGCCTGATCTTATAAAATATTTGCTTTTGTATACATATAACCATATTTTTGTTACTAAATAGTCAGAAGCATAAAAAGAAACAGCATTTTTAAAAATACAAACATGAGAAAAAAAAGGAAAGTTTAGTTTAGCCTTATTATTAATGTATTATATCTATATTATCACACAGATCAATTGCACAAAACAGGGTTCCTTTTCAGTGACACTTCTTCAACCAGACCCTCTGGTCCAGTCCATGATTACAAATTCAATCATTATCTGTCAGGAAGCATTTGTGGGAAACATGTATAAACTGATGCACAACATATTTTTATTTGATGTCATGGTGCAGCTACACAAATATGGCATCCTGGGTTTGAATATTTCTGTTAATATAATCAGGATATGGCTTCAGTGAAGCTGGACCAAGTCTATAAGAAATGCTTACATTTGATGTTGTTCTCCACTGTGGGAAGATGTTTTTTTAACTTAAATTTAAACTGTATGATTAAAAAGTAGTGCTCCTGAACCAGTTTCAACAACCTGGTTGTTTGGGGGAGGAGTTCAAATGTTTACTGGTTTGGTCTGGGGCACTAGAGAATGAATGAAAAAGCCTTTATCATTAGGAATTAACATTTTTGTTTATCTACAACTTAACTCCACGACCCACTGACTTTGGAAGATGTACTTTTCAGAGATCTGAGCAACATTAATAGTTTATTTCTAGTTGCAGCTGCAATGTTGTAAATCTGTGTGCTCACACAGGAGATGTGCAGAGGGTTGCAAAGTCTGGTGCTGCTTTTCATGTGTTTACAATGTTCAGTAGTTTCGCTGATAGTTTGATTTACTTGCAGTGCAATGCAGTCTGATACTCTGTTTTCAATAAACACTGTACTGTCCATTAAACTAGTCTCCTCATTGACTAAATACTACATATTTATAAGTATACAGCCCTGTTTACCTGCATAGGTCTCTACTGACCTCTTCTGGATAACCTTCTGTATTGCTAAAAAAAAAAAACGTTTTCTTGATGCACAATGTTGAGTTCACTAATTACAATGAATGCAGTAATAGCGGGAAAAAAAGAGAAATCATGGTGGTGGATGTAGTGCTCCCTACAATGATTCAGATTACTGTCTGTAGACAGTGCAACGCTTAAAAATGACCACTGATAAAGTGGATACATAAAAACAACAACACAGAAGTGCTCATTTGTTGCCCTTCATACTGACTGCTGTTTCACAATACAAACATGGCAATATGGTGCAGGGGCAGTTATTTCATGTTGGATGAGGACAATAAAAACATCTTTATTATTAGAAATGTGTAGTCTCTGAGGGTCTGAAAAAGGTGGGCAGCGTACCAAACCACTGTGAGGCACATGAGGTGGGAGGATCTAATAATCTTTCAAATATGATATGATTACTTGTTGAAAAAGAAATTATACAATATCATATTTGACATATTCATTTAATAAATCAAATGTGTCCTTTCATTTACTGTTTAAAACACCACATTTGTGTCTAGAAAGAAATACTTATAACCTGAGACTGGATGAAAATTTTCTTGATGTTATAATTGTGATTATGATTTCGATTTAATAGACCTGCTAATATGCTAAATACATATCTTGTTTGTAGGCCTATTCTTTTCACTGGATGTGGAAATCACCAGTTTATTAAAACAATAATTATGATGTCTCCAATCCCACCATACTTGTTTTAGAAATGAAGTGGGACCCAGTGGTGTGTCTGCACTCAAGAGGATGGAAGGCAATTAATAAAAATATCACCTGATCTCTTTGATATGGGAATATTTTTCTCTGCTGATGATTAGAATAATAAATAATTTAGCCCACTATAAAATGAGAAATACACTTTCCTCCAGAAGGTGGCAGCAGTTGAACACAGAGCGCGTGAGCAGCAGTAAACCCCCCCACAGAAGAAGTCTCTCCTCCCACAGTCCTCGGCGGTGCTAAAGTGACCTCTGTTGCTAACTGTTAGCCTGCTGTGAGACGATGGCTCCTCCAGTTGCAGTGTCGCCTTTGATTAAGGTTTGTGTTGCAGAACATATAATGAGAAAAAAACAACAACAGTTCACTCGTGTTTTAATGTAAAGTGACTCTTACGATCGTGTTTCTGTTCGTTTGCTACTCGGCGCACGCTAACCTGCTAACAGTTAGCTCGCTAACGCTAACTGGTTGTTGCACATAGAAAATGTCCTTGCTTGGATATGATTTACATTAATGAATTAAGAATGCATAATGTTGCATACCTTTTTATAGTTATATATTTAAATTATCTATAACTCCAATTTTAGAATCAGTCGTCCTCGTTTTTCGGGCCACTGTTGCTCATTTGTGGATGTGACAGGCTGCAAACATCAGATGGACAGGCTGTTTAAAAGTGTATATTTTAATTAAACTAATGCTTCTCGGTTAATTCTGCTTTTGCCGAATTTAAGAGTGGGTCCCAATCACTCTAAAAACTAGTTAAATTCACCACTGTTAGATGTGTAGTTTGTACCCATGAACAAGGTCTCAATAAATTGTTGCAGAAGTCTATAGAGTTCAATGGGAATAGCGACATTATGGGATATCAGAATTAGAACTAATACTTTATTGATCCCAGAATAGAAATTGGTAGGTAAAACTATATATAAAAGCAGAATTATGAAATATAAACGATAAATGGATATGTACAATATTTACATTATTAACAGAATTGTGATGAACAGTAGTAGTGAATAAATATAAGCAGAATTGCAGAAAATAATATTGCACATTGAATAGTAAAACAGAATATTGCCCAGAAGCAATGCTAAGAAGGTATTGTGTTATTCCTATTGATGTAGAACTGATGAAGCCTCTAAGTGAGTGGCAAAACATCTTCAAGACAAAAATCAAAAGCCCAGTTGTTTTTGACTTAATACTTAAATATATCTTGTCACTGGTGTGATGGACAATCTGCACAGACTTTGTAGATACACCACGACTGGCATTCATTTGCATTGTTTTCTCATTTACAGACTGCAAGATATTCAGCCTTGATTGCCGGGATCATCTATGGCAAAAGGAGATATGGTGAGACATAATGCCCACGTGTTACTTCACTTTATTTGACAGGGAAAATGCATATTGGTATTAACATTTCTGAAAATATGCCAGAGTTACCCAAAAAGGCTCATTTTAATCTGTAGTCCCCGGGCAGGAAATAGTTAAAAGCACTAACCTTAAATATGCAGAACCTGCACCACATAAAGACTAGAGACAAGAAAATCAACAAATAGCATGACAGCACAATATTAAGCAGGAGCGGTATTTATATTATAACGACAATAAGACAACAAATAACACCTTACTGTTCTAGTGTTCACAGGTTTGATTTCTAATGAACCAGGCCCTTAATGCACTTGAACAGTACACTGAGATAAACCAACTGTAAAACACAGAATATAAAAATAATTAAGACTGCATATAGGAGAAAATGTTATCTTCCAAAAACAAATTAGATGATAAACTTAAAGGTGATAAAAGATTACATTTACAAAAGTAGACAGATCTTCACTCAATTCCTGCTTCATCTTATTTATGAGGCTGTCATTCATTAGCAATTTAGCTCAGGTGTGTATACGTCCATAGCTTCACCTGTCACTTTGAAATACTGAAATATAGTCAATACTTAGTGGAGTTTCTTCCCCCATAATGAATGTTGCTTTGTTTATTAAATACACCACTTTAATCTGCTCAGATCACCTGAAGCCTATTGCAGCTGAGGAGAGACGGATCGAGGAGGAGGAGAAAAAGGTTCGCGAGGAGCAGGAGCGCATTGCCAAGCAGCTAGCAGAAGGTAGCCTCATCATTCACGTGTCAAATATTCCACGTGTCCACTTTGCACATGCGTGCTCCATAGTTTACAGGGAGTGGACACAATAATAGCAACACCGGTGTACAATATAATACAGTTGGTGTTGCATTGCTTTTTAATAAATTGCATGTTATTTTTCAACAACCTAACGTCCTAAATGTACTAATCCCACTTATTTTACTCTCTCCTTTCAGCAAATGAAGATACTATCCTGAAGTAAAGCGTGCTGTGTGAGGATGTAGTCCATGGGATGTCCATGCAATTTCCAACTTTTCCCTCCGTTTTCTGGAGTTACGATGACAAAGTCGGGTCACAACCTGTCAAACACTTGCCACTTACTTTGAATAATACAACACCCCTCTGGACCATAAGTTAGTTACATGAAATTAAATAAGCCTCTTGAACTCAGCATTGTAACACTGCAAATGCAGCCCCACTCATAATTTATTCATGTTTGTAATGAAGCAATGTCATAAATACAGAAGTACATGATCACTGTAGTCCACCATGTGACGTTTGGTTATAATTCGTGTTCTCCTTTAGCCACTGTTAGAGCACAGGTATGACAGATGTTATATTAAAAATGACAACTTATCATTTTGCATTCATGAATTTTGTTCACATTAAATGCAAAAGGTTCTGATCTGTTGCTGTTAGTTCACTTGCTTCCTATTTGCCATCACCTGTTTTGATCAGTGGTTCACATTTAAAATATCTACTTCGATTATTTAGACCTTTACCGACATAAGAAACATGACAGGGCTATAGTATGTTTCATAAGAACCATTTCCAAAGGAAGTTGATTAATTTAAAGTATCTTATTTAATTCTCTCTTATGGAATCGGTATCATATTCTTAAACAGTAATTTCCTCACCCTGTCTAGTTTCTACTGTAGCTTTGTGAATCTATGGAAAATTAGTCAATGTTTACTTAAGTTGCACATTTAATTAAGGTGAAAAAGGTGGAAAACATTAGTTGCAGACATATCATGGCCACATTTGCTGTGGAAATACACTTCGTTTCAGTGATTCAACTTGGTTGACTTGGGTTAAAACGCTGAAACAATGGAAATTAGTCAGCCTTTTATTTTCTTGATTAATTGTATTGTCAATAAAATGTCAACTTTATTTTTAGCACAATTTCCTGATGCCCAGGGTAATGTCAACGTTGGTTGTTTTTTCTAACGAACCGTTCAAAACCCAAAGACACTCAAGTTCAAAAGGAAAAGAAAAGCAGTGAATTCTCACAATCAAAAGTATTTTGTTTTTGCCTGATAAATTATCTAAATAGTTGCCCATAACCTTACTGTCAATTCAATAATCAGTTAATTGACTCATCTTTTCAGCTCTAAGTAGGTTTCCAGACTCATTGATAGGATTTCTACTGTTGATTGACTTGATACAAACTTCTATGGAAAGTGATCTGAAAGAAACCTCTCACATAATCATCAAATCCAACTATTTTGTCAGTCATGTATGAAATAACATTGCATTATCCAGAGCAGAAAAATCTTGTGACACAACAGTAGGTGCAGATGGGGAATATGGTCAGTGTGAGCAGAAAAATTGTGCCTAAAATAAAACTTACAATACTTAAAAGGGACCTTAAAATACGGTGGGGATGTATTCTTACATCTGTCTCAAATGGTCACCTGCTCGTAGCCGCTTGTTATACAACTCATTCCACAGTCGGTGACCTGACATGTTCAGCCTGAGCTCACCTGTTAAGCAAGAGAGTGTCTACAACAGGATCATTTAAACCTAGCTTTTGTTTTCGGATTAGAGGTGCAGAGTTAACAGTGACATGTCACAGCACAGACGCCTTACCTAATATCTTCAGGACAGGTTATTATAAGAAAAACAAAAATGTCAGGGCAGACTAAAAATACAGCTGGACTTACTGGCATGATGCTGGTCTTTGCTTAGCTCTCACCTACTCTAGGTAACCGAAATACCTCAGGACTGGTGAGGGGTGCCACAAGGCTAACACGTGCGAGGGGGATTACAGAGATCTGCTTATGACATTTTTCTTTAAAATCTTTTTAATATACACCACAAAACAAATGATGCAATTAAAAGACTGTACTAGGGGAAAAAACAATATCACGCGAGTCAATGCATTAAAGCAAGTCAATAAACTTTACGAATAGATCGACAACATAATACTGATGACACGTTGAGAGCAACAACACAAATTACGGTTAAAAATGCATCTAAAGCAGCAAATCATTTCATGGATTATTATTTGGTAAGTCAGACACCCTGTTCTGGTCTGTAAAGTGGGTCATTGTTACACGTGTTGTATCCACATTTACTGGTGCAGAAGTGGTTTAAACTTCCTTTGACACACCTCACCAGCTGTTTGCTGTATGACATGTTTAGCGTGGGATTACAGGTTGAAGCTTTGGCAGCATTTACAGACAAGATGACAACACGTTACTTACGGGAACAGCTGAAGCTCTGCTGACATAATCAGCATTATCGGAGTATTTTATAATGTAGTCACTATTTCTTTTACATTTGTGGTGTTTGCAAATGCTTCTTTTTCACATTTTTAGCCTTATGGCCTTACAAAGCATTTAATATCTGAATGTGAACCTGATTTTGAGGACTAAATTTTGTATTTTTTTATCTTTTTACACCCAAATAAAACTGTTTGTGTACAGTAATGAACAAGATACACCCTATATATTTGCACTCACTTTCACATTAAACAGAACCGGGCATTAATAAAATAAATAATAAAAGTGGGACACTTTATCCGCCCCCCCTTTGTTATCAAGGCCCGTTGTGAATGTAGTGAAGTATAAAAATGGAACAGGAAAAGCTTTAGGCCTACTGGCCAGACATTGTTCTCAGGAAAAGTATGCCAGTCCAGAGATTTGGGAACATTTAATCTGAAGATGGCTGGTTTCATGGACACTTTAAGAACAGAAAAACAAACCCAAAAATCATAACATCTTATGTTATCACACCGCATCAAATCACTTTCTCAGCAGCTTTGACTAAACAAATCTTTGCATGTGCACTTGGTGCTTAAAAATACACCTGTCTGCACGTGTAAACACCTTCGCCACAGACGTGTGACTTGAGGCTCAGGCCACCTCTTTGCCCCGGGGCGTCTGCCGTTATGTATCCCATTAATTAGCCCTGCAAACAATTACATAAAGACTAATACAGTGCTGAATGCGAGGGTTCAGCAGCTTACAGCGGGGGATTTTGTTAACTGGATTAGTGGTAGATTTAAACTCCATTTAGGTTCAAGAGGTGAAAATAATCAGTGAGCCTGTGCGTCAGGTATAAAAGGCTCGTGTTCTCACCACAGCTCAAACACAGAAACAGCTCTGCACTGGAAACATCCTGCGGCTTCGTTCTACTATCAAGGTAAGAAGCTGCTGCTGCTGCTGCTGCTGCTTTGTGGGGACCGACTGATCTTTTTTCCAACTAGGGCTTGCTTGGTGTCATTATTACAGGAGATTGTATGATAGCAGAATTACAGTAAATAGTGCTCTAAATCTGCATCAAGATAAATCACACTATAACACAAATTAACATGTGCTCGACTTGGGTTTTGGCTATAGAATGGACTTCCAAATCTTTGCCCTGGTGCTATTGTTCCTGGCCTGTGTGGAGCAGAGCCTGGCCTCCTGCGTGGTGGACAGCTTCACAGTCAAAGAGGACTTTGACCCCAAAAGAGTGAGTACAGAAAAATAAATTTTGGAAATACTTAAGTCAATAAATAGACAGCTGAATTCAGAATTGATGCATCCTTAAATGTAGTCAATAACCAATATTAACTACCAGATGAATTTATGCTTTTGTTTAAGTTCCTGTAACTTGAATGAGCTCGATACCATTTACAGTAATAAAAGTTCACAAATTTAACAGAAGCAGCATTATCTACATCCCCATATAAACCAGAACATCGTCAGCATACAGTGACAGTGTCGTGTCGGAGTATTTGAGTTGATTGAGTAATCGTTCAACTTCCCTGCCGACAGTATGCAGGAAAGTGGTATGCTCTGCAGAAGAAGGATCCCGAGGGTTTGTTCCTGCAAGACAACATCTCTGCTGAATACACTGTTGGAGACGATGGTGCCATGGTTGCCTCCTCCAGAGGCAGAGTCACTCTCTTCGGGTGGGTGTCATTTTTAGTAGCAGTCTGAATGTGATATGTTTAAACTGAAGCTTTCCATTCCCGCTTGCAAGTGTGACTTTTTAAAAAAGAATCTCTACTGGACATCCAGGTTCTGGGTTGTGTGCGCTGACATGGCTGCTCAGTACTCAGTGCCCGACCCCGGCACCCCCGGCAAGATGTTCATGAACTACCAGGGACTGGCCAGCTACCTGTCCAGTGGCGGTAAGCCTCCTCAGTCGTATCCACATGCACACACATTCTCACTGTCTCTTGTCTTACACAGCTGAGACTAACTTCTTTCACTCTCCTCTTCCAGGTGACAACTACTGGGTCATTGACACAGACTATGACAACTACGCCATCACTTATGCCTGCCGCAGCCTGAAGGATGACGGAAGCTGCGAAGACGGCTACGCCCTGGTCTTCTCCCGCAGCCCCCGTGGCCTCCCGCCTGCCATCCAGAGACTCGTCCGCCAAAAACAGGAGGAAATCTGCATGGCCGGAGAGTTCCAGCCTGTGCTGCAGTCTGGTATGTACTCAGCCTTAATAGACAGTGACCATGAACCCTGACTTACATTTAAAGGATTTAGATGCCAAAAACTCCAACAAGGACACATTTTTAACATTAACAGTAAACACAGAAGTACAAGTCTCCTTTTTATAGCCCCATAGCTCACTTTGTGGATCTTTACTACTTATTTTAACACATTTTACTGTGTATATTCAGATTAAATTAGAATAAATAACAAGCTGTGGGTTACATTTAAACTCCTAACACTTCCTCTTCTCTCTCCATTTGTTAACAGGAGCTTGCTAAACTGCTCCTAAGATGGAGTTATTTGAGCAGCTGGATTGATCATCCTGCACCAAATGAAGATTGAGCTCTTCTCAAAAGACGCAAATCGGAGATTTATCCTCTTAAGCTTATGATTTTCTATGTTTGCTAACGTCATAGGGGAGAATTACCTGATAAATCCAATTCAAACACCCAATGAAAAGATGACATTTCCGAACCAAATCCCTTGAAAACTGTGACTGGTTGCCTGAATGTGCAATGAATGTGAATCAACTGCGGAGAATGGTAACACCTGCGCTGTGTAATTATTCTGTATTAGTGACAATACACTTTGTAAAGAAACTTGCTGTGATGTTTTTCTTTGTAAAACTATTCTAATCTAGTGAACAAAAATGTAAAACAGAATCATGTAACAACTCGAGACATTTCGAGTAAAAAACACAAAATCCAACAAGTTTAAAAACACATTACAGAAAAAAAGATTATTACAGTCCATTAACTTTAATGGTCTAATTGTAACAGTTTCTGCAACAGTAGTATCAGTTAATAACTAATCCAATTTTCCAGTGACGACATGCATTTTACGTCTCCTTTCATACCAATAACGTCACATAGTGTGCACAAACTGCACTACAACCACAAACAGTAAAATCTCATTTTAACAGGATCTATGACACAGTTGGTATATTTATAGGCACGTATATTAAAAAGGATAAATCTGATGCCATTTTATATTTTTTTAATCACCAAATCTTAAGAAAAGACCAAACAACAATGAACTGATCCAACTAAAAACTTTTCCTTGTGTATCCCAAACCTGATTTATCTTCTTCTATGCCATAGAACTCTATTGATATTGATCCACTGCTGCAAATAGTCCTCAACAAGTGTGCAATTTACTTCTGTTTGAGTAATGTTTGCTAAAAACTACAGTGCCCGGCTGTTTAAGGAAATTATTATTTTAAACTCTGTATTTATGACCTGTTTTCCTTTTGTCTTTTATCCGAGTCAAAGTCACAAAATGCAAAACAGTGCAGGTGGATTTTGAAATGTTGCTTACATATTGTTTGTGCCTTGTCAACATTTCTGGTTTCCACCGGGTACCCAAAATGCTGCCACACAAATGTTTTAAAAGTGGCAGAAGCATCTTCTATGCTAACTTCACCTTACACTCAGCTTTTCACCTCAACGAGAAATATCGCCCTAGTATTCAGTCACTTTTATATATTATTCTCAAAGTGGACAAAGAGCAAAATGAAATTATCAAGTTTTTGAAATTACAGCCATTACTATACTCTGTCAAAACAGGTGATGCCTGTAATACTGTCAAATGGAGCATGAGCATACATCATAAACAAATGCTTACAATGAGACTAGGCAGATTAAATGGTGCTTACTTAATCAGAAATGTCCCATAATGTATTAGCATATATAATCAGCACATTGATCTCTATAAAATATATTTACCTTGTACAAAACAATTAAGAAACATAATCTGAATGATTTGACCTTGGTCTAGTGCTCCTCTGAATACCTCTCTGGCAGCGAGTACGGGCCAGGCCTGCCCCAGTAGTCCACAGCTCGAACTCTGTACAGACCGCCGACCTCCTGGTCCGCTGCAGAACACAACATAGTATATGGTGTTATTTCTATGGTGAAGAAAATCCACTTTTGTTGCTCATTGCCACCGCTTAACAGGGACAACTAAGAGTTCTTACCAGGCGAATAAACACAACAAGTAAAAATGGTGTCTTGAGTATTAATTCTGCTGAATTCCTTGTCGTCTGTGGAGAATTCCACTTCAAATGTCCTAATGCATCTGCAAATACAAACAAAAATTAAAATGAACTAATGGGCGCTTTCTTGTTCTTGGTCCATACATATTCACCGCATTTCATAAAGAGATCAAATCTACTGTACTTCTGCGCTCAATAGAAGGAGTTCTGTCCGTTGGGCATTTTTTAATAAATAAGTCTGCACCTACTATCACTCCTTTACATTTTCTTGCGGTGACAAATGCTAAAGTAAAGAAATAATCATGTGGAACCTACTTGGAATCAACACAGTGGTCTGACCAGACAATCAGGACTTGGCCTTTGGTGATCCTGATGAAGCGTAATCCATTGACCTAAACAAAAGTCAAACACAGTTGAGAGCTCACGATCACCTCTTTTGGAATATGCAGCCCAGTCCCATACAGGTCTTAACATCCATTAAGCTTTTTCATCGCAACACAGGCTATAGATTACATACGGGAAAATCTGACACAGACACATTCACTCAACTGTACAATACTTCTGAGAAGGTGGACAATCAAACGTTACTGTGTGTTGGTACTGACCTGGTCTGGCACGGCTTTGGGCAGGGCACAAACATGGATGAGGAGGACAGAGGGCACAGACAGTTTGGCTTTCAGAGTCAGCGTGTCCCCTGCAGGAACTTCCCAGGGTCCGTCAACATGAGGGTCCTGACACAATGACACATTGCCAGGGGGTCAAAGCATGTCCCAAACCACTTCACACAGAAGGAAAAGCCCAGATAGATCAAAGGAAATGTTGAGATCTTTATACATGACTACACCTCGTCTCAAAACAGTGTGCGAGTAGGTTGTACGGACACACAGCAGCTTCTTAACCACGCTGACATGAGGGCCTCTACATCTACTACGCATGAATTCCTGTTCTGAAGAAATCTGAGAAATCAAGCGCAATCTACCAAACTGCATCCAAAACCTAAAGATATCTTATTATCATTAATGTATATAATATATTGTTTCAGTATTTAATGCATGTAAAATCTTAACCACATAAAGCGTAAGATGTAGTAAGGCCCATTATAATACACTATGCAAGTCATTTTTATGCTTCATAAGAAAACTGATCTTTAAAAATAATTAAAGCCAGCCACAGGAAATCAGTTCGGCTGAGTCAGTGGACTCTTTAAGTCCCTTAAGATTTTAGACTTTATTGTTCTTTTCTTGTAACTGTAATTCCTTAAAAAATGTTTTCTTTATCGGTTGTGTGTTTTATTTTCTGCCCTTGTGAAACTCTTAATAAGCATAAGATGATGATGATTATTATTATTGTTATGTAGATTTCTGATGCTTGTTTATACATTTAAAACAACAACAACAACAACAACAGCAGCAGCAGCAGCTGCTATTAGGAAGTATTTCTGTGTTTTAAGGAAAGGATGTGCAGAATAAACTACTACTTTTTTTTCTCCAAATAGATTTACAGAAGGAAAAAGCTTTATGTAAGGTATTGAAACATTATTGTACACATCTTCTGGAAAAAGAACAATGTATAAATAAAATATTTGTTTTAATATCGTTCAGCCCTCCTGTTTACCTGCACACTCCTGAGGCGTCTGAACTGTTCTGCTGTGGGGTAGTCGGGGCTGCCCATGCTCTGCCACAGCTGGTACGGGTTGCTAACATTGTTGTCAATGTAATATGTGACGTACACAAGACCTGGACAACAAACAAAGATATCAAACAGGACTGAAACACACCACTTGCTTGGAGAAATAAAGGCCTGATGGAACTGGTTATATTCTCCTTAAAATGGAATCAACTGTTAATCTAAAATAACATCCAACAGTTTTTCGTTAAACCTTTTTGTGCAGCCAGTCCTTTCAGTGACACGGTGACGTCGTCAGTCTTGGTGGAGGTGCTGTTGTCCTCACTGTTGTAGACCAGCACTGCTGCCTGCCAGCTGTCTGAGCCGCCCGCCATTACGGGCTTGTGGCTGCTGGCAAGAACGCCCACCGTGCTATCCACGGTTCCTGCAGAGTTCAAAACGTGAGCCGGGACCTGGGTCTCTCCTTAAAGTGGAATCACACACAGGAGAGGCAGCAGGGCCGTTAAGATCGGGCTGGGGCAGCTGGAACAATCACACTGAGACACACGTAAAAACCCTGGAGGGTCACCTGTTGTAGAGTAAAGAAGTCGTCACCTAGTAAAGCCAGCAGGCCCATGACAGAGAGGACCGGCTTCCTGATCAGCTGCACGTGAGGCGGCTGGGTGTTGTTGACCTGGAAGCGGGCGGTCAGCGTGCGCTGGGTGAAGGGGTGTGGGTGGTAGCTGAGGAAGGCGTTGTCGTTGCTCAGCAGGGTGTAGTTGATCGTGCTGTTCGGGTCTGCCAGCAGCAGATCCTGGTGCTGGTGTATTACCTGTTAGAAGGAGCATGCAGCGATTGGTTAAGTGGTAGAGTGAAGAGCAACACCTGCCTGGGTTTAGTGTGCAAAGTGGTTACAATGAGAAGCATCCTTTAACTCACATACCGCTACCACAGCTACATTCATTGTCTAAGAACAAACTGAATATTTATGTACTATATTTATATTTGAAATTACAGTCTACCAAATCTATATGTAACGGTTAACAGTGGTACGATGCGAACATGCTAATGTATTCAGTCACAGCACTCTAAAGCACATATCAATTATCTTAATGGCCTATTCATAGTATAGACAGCCGTCTGTCTACTGTATAAGGATTAAATTGGTAAACTAACTAGAAAAATAGGCAAATATTGGCCTTCTAATTAAATTCAAAGTCTCATTCTCATGTTGAAGAATAAAGGTTTTGGTGAAACACCAAACTCCTATGTTATTTTTGGCTAATTTAAGTTGACATATACTTTGTAGTTAACAGCAGCCAATAGAAAACCTCAATCCCTCATTCAGAAAACAATGTAAATGACTTACAGATGGTCACTCAACAAATGTGGATCTTCACCATCCAGTGTTTAAATGTGATTTTTACACTCTACGCGTTTTTCTCCTTCATCTCACCTTAACCACCATCGCAGCATAGGTCACGTCAGCCCTCCACTCCTGAGGCCGGGACCAGCCCACCAGGGGATCCGCCTCATCATTGTAAACGGGGAGGCTGCGGAACCGGGGGAAACGCTCCTGGATCTCCCCAACTGTCTGCATCTCCTGCTGGAGGATGGGCAAGGAGTAGCCTCCTCCCTGAAGGACAGAAACAAAAAGTCAGCTCCCAATTTTTTTTTTATTTGCATCAGTTTTAAAAGTTAATCAATTATTGAATGCAATAATAAATATATGTTTACATAACACAGTCAACTGGATTAATAGGATTTAATGAGTTATTATTTAAATAACATCCCTATCCTTGTTTGGGACTGTGTCACCCTATATTGAATAACTCTTCAAGACAATGAATATTCTGTGAAACATTTCATGAACTGATATTAAAAGGTTTTAAAGACTAATCCTAACAAATATTTAAAGAAATTCATTATTTTCATACAGATATAAGGAATTGCTAAGATTTAGTGATTTCGAGACAAGTCTTGTCCTTCACTGAAACAAAAAATAATAACTTTATTTATTTTTATCTGTAATTTATTTGTAGCTTTGGCAATATTGTTGTTTCACATTCATGCCAATAAAGCTAGATTGAACTGAACTTAAGGCGCTGGCGCATCAAATCTTGAACTCTTGAAAATGAAAATATTCACTTTCTATTTGTTCTAGATTTGCTTCCGAGTCCAGAAAAGCCGACCTTCTTGTGCAGGGCGATGTAGTCGAGCCTGACCCCCGTCTCTCCAGTGAAGTAATTGGTGCCGTTGTAGCAGTGCTGCAGCATGGCCCAGCAGTATGGTGAGTGTGGGGGAGAATGGCAGGAGTCTCCTGGACCCCCAAACCTGAGGAGACTGCTGGCGGCGCGCAGACCCTCCGAACAGGCATCATAGTAATTTAGAAACCCTATAGAAAAGTTTATTATACTGACAGAACCACAGAAGTGCCCATGGGCACAGCACTGCAGTGTGTTTTGAGTTCAATAAAAGGTATTCTCTGCTGGTACTCAATTTGTGAAATGTAAGCTTTTAAAAAATCTCCACAAAGTTTAGTATTCTCATTAAAACAGCTGTCAGACCGTCATTGCTTGCTGAAACTCTCCAATGAAACCCAGGATTTATCTGTTCATGTGCAAGTTTCAAATCAGCATTTATCAAATGACATATGTTTTAGAATAAGTAGCAATACACAATAAGCACATGTAATATTATATCTGTGAGAGAAAATCTGAAGGAATTTCCACTTAAAGAATAACTGACATTATATAAAAAGGTCAGGTAGGATGCTTTACGGGCTTACCTTGAACTGACACGGTGACATTATCAAAGTCGTGGTTGTTGGGCTCATTCCATGTTTCAAAGTTCCACTGAGAAACACTTCCCAGGCCATATTTGTCTGTAATTTAGACATTCACAATGAACATTTATATATAGGTCAACAATTACCTCTGAAACTTTGCAGATATGTACAGAAATACACCATATAGCACATTGATGTATGTTTTTTATATATTACATATTTGATTCTGATTTTTGTTACTCTTTGCACGACATGTCCCTGTGCTGCTGTGCCAATTTGAATTTCACCTACAGGGGATCAATAAAAAAAAAAAAAAGAACATAATTTCTTAACATTTTATCTTAAATTACACAAGAAACATTTGCGTTTAATTAATGTCTCTGTGGAGACGTTACACTGCCTGAATGATCTTGATAGGGAAGGAGAAAATTGTTATTATTGTGGAATACAAATACTAAAAACAATTAAAAAAAGGTACATAAAGAGAATTCTTGCTTTAATTTTGCAGAGCAAGGCCCCACCCAGTAATAATTCTTTAATAATTATTCAGCTGTTTGAGCCAATGCCTGCGCCTCAATTACAACCGTTGTATTTATTTAGGTTCAGGTTATTATTGACCATGATTAGATGATATGGAGTGCACACAACGTATACAATAAAATAATGATGAAACAATGAGCACTCACTCACCGATGTACCTCTTGGCTATGAGGTAAACCAGATTTCTCCACTCGACCACTTGTGATTTGTCCTCAAAGTCAGTGAAGTAGTTGGAGACACTGCCCATCAGTTCAAAACCTGAAAACCACAAGTGCAGGAATGATATTTACAGATACAGGGATCAGCAAAATCAAATTTCACCAGTAGGTTGTACACTTTAAGTTTAAGTGTAGTTTGGAGAAGGCTGCTTTAATTGGCTTCTTACAATTTGGGACAATAGTGCCTCATTTATTTTCACTTAACCAAATAACAATCACATAAGAAGCAGTCAAAGATTAATCAAAGAACATCTTCCCAGCCTGGTGTTGTGTGCTGCAGTACCGGGTCGGAGTCCATTAATCCACAAGAGTCCTATCAGTTGGTCCAGTTTGGTGAAGTTGTACTGGGATCGTCCACCAACGTCTCTAATACAACAAAATCAGACAGCTGAAAATGTTTCATAAAGAACACTCACAAAACCAGCAGCTGATAATCTTCATGTTTGCCATCTTTAAACGAGACAAATCGTAAAGGTTTTCTTTCACATGAGTGTATTTTTAGGGAAGTATGGCTGGAGAGGTGTCCACTTGTTCACTTGCTCACTTACTGCACACTGACCAGCTCCAACATCCAGTGTATCCTGACCTGCTGGATCCCTCCATGGGGGACGGAGCCCACGTAGGCCAGGTTGAGCTGCTGGTCGATGCTCAGGTCAAACTGGTGGGCATCTGTGTGAGGGAGCGGGGGGCTAAACACAAAAAAGAGCCTCCTGTTTAACTGTGAGATGCACCAGTGACAAAACAAATAGGAGGTAAAAGACCCTAAAGTGGAGAAACAATTTTGCATTTGTTGTACCATGTGTGTAACAATAAAGTTGATTATATCTTAATATTAAAGTATATCTTCAGACATGTCATGAAAACTGGGCCAATCTCCACTGAAGAAAACGACTATTTAAAAAATGCCCTCGCTTTGTTAAAGATGCTCACTTGGTGCAACAAGTTTTAATAGCTCTTATTGATTGCAGATGTCTTGTGGTAGATTCGGTATTAAAATAAACCCACATTGATTTGTCTTTATTAATAAAATCTAAACTGCCTCTTGTCCATCACTGTGTCTGTTGCTGGCGTGTATAAAAACAATTCGCATGTGACCTACCAGAAACCAGTGCTTCTCCAGAAGTGCTTAAGGTCTCCTACCGGTCTCCCCACATCAACTGAGATGACATAGGACGCGCTTGAAGTTTCGTTAACGTTAAGGAGTAACGCAAAGACAGAAAAAGTTATCCACTGCATGTCTGCAAACGAGCATTGCGACTTGGTACGTCGCGCTAGTTTATTAATTGGCTGTAAAAACGATGTGAAATCACTCCCGACGGGTCACCTTAACTCCAACATGCCGCTCACGTTGTGTGAGAGTAAATTAAAACGACACCTTTAACATAATTCACTTTAAACGCCAACAACACAAACACATCCTCTCTCCAGTAGCGAGCTGCAGTCAGCTGAGCCTGATGACGTTTAATGCGTGCGACCGTGTTGTTGTAGTCTTTTTTTTTTAAGGAAGTGGAGTTAAGTTTTCATGAAATATATTCAGGATTCACAAACTTTTCTTAATCTATGAGAGGCCGATTAGGGTGAAAACATTGAAAAACAGACGCACACACACTGAAAACTGTCACACATGCACTGACAATGTGCGCACATACACTGAAAACAGGGAAATACTGGCACATACACACTGAAAATGATCATACATGCACCAATAAAACACCAAGCACACGCACTGAAACCAGGCACAGACACACTGAAAATGTGCGCACACACATTAAAAAGGGCACACACCACCAACTGTGCATGCACACACACTGAAATATGTGTACATCCACATTGACAAAGTACACATACACACTGAAAATATTCACACCACACAAACTTCACACAGAGTAGGATACAGGCTACTTGTCTGTGTGTGTATCTAAGTGTGTGCCTGTGAAGTCATTTCAGTGCCTGTTTCATTGTAACAGGAATTCAAAATACATGTAGAATGTGTTTAATAAGCTCAGCAAATCATTGCATATTGTAGATCATAAAGTGAATTGTTGTAGGTTTCATGTGAATAAGAAGACAGAGATGAAGTTTATAAAATATCTGAAGGTGAGGAGCAAAAATTAAATGTGACATACAATAAATATTCCTCCCTGTAGGTTTAGGGATGCTGAACTAAATATAAATATAATAAATGATTAACTGTTCATATAATTGCTTAGATAAACAATCTCTCTGAACAAGGAATATCACTCGCACTGAAATCCATGTTTCATCATGTTAGCTATTCTTTTATTTTGAAGGTTAGGACAGGAATCTAAGGCTTCCTGTTACACTACAACAGCTTCCGAGCGCTAAAATAATTTTACACACACACACTCAGATACCCCTGTATTTCAGTGTATGTGCGCACATTGTCAGTGCGTGTGTGACAGTTTTCAGTGTGTTTTAATATTTTCACCCTAAACGGCCTCTCATATTAATCTGTTGCACGTAAACAAGCACTAAATGCGAATTAGATAACATATAAGTAACAAAAACATTTAATTTGTATCACACACAAATATATATATATACACAGGTGCTGGTCATATTATTAGAATATCATCAAAAAGTTGATTTATTTCAGTAATTCCATTCAAAAAGTGAAACTTGGATATTATATTCATTCATTACACACAGACTGATATATTTCAAATGTTTATTTCATTTAATTGTGATGATTAAAACTGGCAACTAATGAAAATCCCAAATTCAGTATCTCTGAAAATTAGAATATTACTTAAGACCAATACAAAAAAACGATTTTTAGAAATCCAACAAAGGTTAAAATCAAGTTCTGCAGAACTGAAGAAGTCCTTTGGATGAGGGACGAAACGTCTTCCAGTATCTTCAACCAAGTCCAGTTGCCCTTGATTTTAACCTTCGTTGGATAACTATGACCTGGATGACTGAGAATCTTCATAGAGATTTTTAGAAATGTTGGCCAACTGAAAAGAATGAACATGAAAAGTATGAGTATGTACAGCACTCAGTACTTAGTTGGGGCTCCTTTTGCCTGAATTACTGCAGCAATGCGGCGTGGCATGGAGTCGATCAGTCTGTGGCACTGCTCAGGTGTTATGAGAGCCCAGGTTGCTCTGATAGTGGCCTTCAGCTCTTCTGCATTGTTGGGTTTGGCGTATCGCATCTTCCTCTTCACAATACCCCATAGATTTTCTATAGGGTTAAGGTCAGGCAAGTTTGCTGGCCAATTAAGAACAGGGATACCATGGTCCTTAAACCAGGTACTGGTATCTTTGGCACTGTGTGCAGGTGCAAGTCCTGTTGGAAAATGAAATCTGCATCTCCATAAAGTCAGTCAGCAGCAGGAAGCATGAAGTGCTCTAAAACTTCCTGCTAGACGGCTGCGTTGACCTTGGACCTCAGAAAACACAGTGGACCAACACCAGCAGATGACATGGCACCCAAACCATCACTGATTGTGGAAACTTTACACTGGACTTCAAGCAACGTGGATTCTGTGCCTCTCCTCTCTTCCTCCAGACTCTGGGACCTTGATTTCCAAAGGAAATGCAAAATGTACTTTTATCAGAGAACATAACTTTGAACCACTCAGCAGCAGTCCAGTCCTTTTTGTCTTCAGCCCAGGCGAGACGCTTCTGACGCTGTGTCTTGTTCAAGAGTGGCTTGACACAAGGAATGCGACCGCTGAAACCCATGTCTTGCATACGTCTGTGCGTGGTGGTTCTTGAAGCACTGACTCCAGCTGCAGTCCACTCTTTGTGAATCTCCCCCACATTTTTGAATGGGTTTTGTTTCACAATCCTCTCCAGGGTGCGGTTATCCCTATTGCTTGTACACTTTTTTCTACCACATCTTTTCCTTCCCTTCGCCTCTCTATTAATGTGCTTGGACACAGAGCTCTGTGAACAGCCCGCCTCTTTAGCAATGACCTTTTGTGTCTATATATATATATAGTATACACACACACACACACACACACACACACAGGTATATGGTCACAGCAATCTTTTGTTTCCAATTGTTTATGTACCCCGATTTTATGCACTATAATGATAATTTCTGTTAATTTTGTAGATTTATAGCGACAATAAACTTGATCAATAAGATTCAGTTGAAATGATCGACAGCTATAACGAGGTACACGGCAACTCACATTAAAGTAGTTCAATACTAATTGTTATTTTAAAGTATTGATACACTTAACATACCCTGTAGTGTGGATATACCGTGTGTAAATTAGATGTCATAGTTGGTAATCGAAGAGGATATATTTCAGGACCAAGCCCCAATATCAAAGAGGCAATTGCCAATCAGCATTACAAAGATCAAAGTGGTAGGCACATCCCCTAAAGCAGATGTTTTCAAAGGCTGGAGGCTCCAAACTGTTTCAGCGGGAGAGAAAAAAATATTAGTTAACAATATAATGACTAATATTAGTTATTACATTAGTTATCAAAAGGAGAATAGCCTAAATGTGTGTGATTTGGTTAAAGAGAAGGGGAAGTTTATGTTCTTTCAGAAATTAATAATAATTTTTTTTTGTTGCAGTTTGAAGTTATGTCAAACAGAAATATTAGATTGGCTCAATTATTGAGTATCTGTGGGACAGAATTGTTATGAACCATCCAGACCTCTCAGGTCGTCTGGGAACAGGTCTGCTTTCTGTCCCCAGGGTCAAAACTAAACATGGAGAAGCGGCGTTCAGTTTTTATGCTCCGTATATTTGGAACAAACTCACAGAAAACTGCAGGTCTGCTGAAACTGTCAGTTCTTTTAAATCAAGACTGAAGACTTTTCTTTTTACCACTGCCTTTAATTAGACCAAATGTAAGGCTGTAGATTATTTTACACTGCACTGTAACTTTTACTGTCCTGTTTTTCTTTATTACTTCACCCTTTCATAAATTGTATTTCAAATTTTTTATTTCCCTGTAATGCTTTTATGTTTGATGTAAATCACTTTGAATTGCCTTGTTGTTGAAATGTGCTATACAAATAAAACTGCCTTGCCTCAAACTGAGCGAAACTACAGTTGAATCAGTATCACCTAGCTGTTGTTTGATACAGTATGTAGCGATAAAGTTTACTTACTTAACAAAATGTGTGGTTTTGATTTACTTGCAATAAAGTGTTAATATTCCTTCCGGTGCGCAGTAACTACCAAGGTCAAATAATAGCTAGTCAGTCAGCTGTGCTACTGCTGCATCAACACAGAGGCTTTAAATCTTTCACCTGAGATAATACCTTGTGTACAGACAGAACTTTGACAAAAAAAAAAGTAAAACAACAAGCTGTTAATGGGACATTTATTTAAAAAAAAAAAAAAGTTGGGAGAATCAAGAAGGCATGAAAGTAAAGTTCATGTCATTTACAGTCGAACTCAATATACCGTTAAACAGCAACAGTTATACACAAACCATTTACACAACCTGTACAAATATTTTTTCCCCGCAAATTTGCAATTTAAATTCAAAATAACTTAAATAAGCTTCTATGTAAAAGTGCAAATCCTTATATGTGGGATGTCTGTGAGTAAGACCATGGCGACTGAAAGGGTGCTTTGATGAGTTCACTGGCGATCGGGTGTTAACTTGTAAGGCATCACAAGCACATTTCAACACTGAACATTTACCGACTATACTGTCTTGAAGCACAGTCATATATTTATATATAAATGCTTTTAATGTACAACATCTACACTTTTAGTAGACTCTTGTGTAATAATGATGCCTTACGTTGCATTTCAGCTTTGCTACTGTGCACATTTGTTCTCTCATACAAATCGATATTGTAATGACTCAACTTCTGTGATTTGACAGAGAGCCCTTTCTCAACTGAGCACACCCAGCCCGGAATAAAACCACTAAAATAACGTTTGAGTTCAGTGTTTGTAGTGTTCTTGGGGTGAAAGTTTGGACAGTCAGCATGAAAGCATGGCAACAATGCGCCATTGCCTGTTTGATAGTGTTAGCTTTAATGTCACAGTTACCAGAGGCCAGCCGTATCCTGGATGAACCAGGATACGGCTGGGCAGTAGTTGTCCACAGGTTTCAGGCTTTGACAGTGCGTGCGTTTGTGTTTGTGTGTGTGTGGGGAGGTGAGGGGTCGGTGATTCTGCACAGTCACAAGGCATGAGGTGACAAAGAGTGGCAAACTGTTAATGCTGATACTTCAAAGTCTCTACAAGCATCCTCCTGATTGGTGAGGAGGGGAGCAGAAAGAACTAACTAACCCACGCACACTATTGGGCCTTACATGCTTCCGTATTAACATGCAGCCGATGAAAAAACGAGTAGGAGAGTATTATACAGCATATCTGCAAATGGAGCACTGGTCACCATGGGTTCTACTGGACAGGAGACTGGAAATGTGTTTGGTAAATAAAAAGGTGTTTAGGTATTTGCAATACAAAAGGAGAAAATAACGAGCATGGA